TTACAGCTTGTTACAACCCTATTATTAATTACTGACAAACCAGCTAAAAACTTAGCCAGAATAAAAAACAGGCCTTTGGAATTTAATTAAATATTTTTTACGAAAAGATAATTAATACTTTAACTGCCAAGTTTAAAATTGTGAAAGTCAAACCTCCACTAGCGTCAGGCACCGGTGACTGACGTGGCACTCTAAGGGTTAAATCACTTTAGAGGTTAGAGTCTATTGTTTTACCTATCATTTGCTTTTACAGCCAAGACTTTAATGTTAAAAAATCGTAAGAAAAAATATCCCGTAATAACTTTTTGCTACATAATGATCGCATCGCATTTAAAGAGATCGTAATTGACTAAAAACGTAGTAGTAGCTCTTAGTAGTAATAATTTTAATAAATCTTGTGATGACAGGGATACATTAAAATGTTACCATTCCGTCCAAGTGATAATTTTAATCAGCCGTAGGGAGTGCAGAATTTTTTAACGTCAACATATCATTAATTCCAAAGATCATACAAAGTTTGCCAAAATTACATGTTAATTCTAAATGCTTATGTGACGGATAATGTATGAATCGTGGCTTCCAAATTATATAAATACACTTAGGTATAATAATACGTATTTCTTAATAGTAGGTATGTAAAAAATATTTGAACGCCTTTATAGATACTAAAGTGTGTCCAACGTAGGGGTTCGATAAACGTATGCCCAGTGCAGACAGATAGTATAAACAGTGTCCTCTGGAGTCAATTTAACGCTAACGCGGTGCAGATACGGAACAACGTCTCCACGACAACGCGACGCTTGCGCCGTGTAGTCATGGCGTCTGCGCTGCGCACACGTTTATCGGATGCCTACACTGGACAGACGCTAGTATGAAGCCGCTCTTAGACACTGGAATAGTGGTTATTGTAAGTTATTTAACAGGTTAAACTTGTCCCATAAGTGACAAACAACCATCTCGGGATTTCAAAAGAAACCTATTTAGACAGAGGTGTAAAAGGTAAACGTAATTTAACTCATAATTCGTCTGTCAAGGGCATAAGTACAGTCACCTATTCAGGCTACTTTACCTGATTTTCAACTTTATGGTTTACGATATGAAGTCGAAAATGACCTCCTGGCATTTGCTTATGAACTAGGCATATTTCCATACACAGTGTTATAATTGAAAGCTTTGGAAATCTCAAATGCGTCACGTTAGCAGCTCGAGACAGTCTTCTGCAGGACTATGGACCTCCTCTACGTAAAAAAGGATTTACCATGTCATTCTTAGGCTAAATGGTTGTTCAAGCTTAATGGCTTAATGGTTTTATCAGAGATCATTACTGATCAGTTTTTGTCAAATGTGCTGCCCTTTCCGATTGGTTTTTACATTACCTGCAAAATTATTTGCTGTCACTGCACAGAAAATACTTAGGGAACATTTCAAATAACATTCAAGGCTATTGTACGCTGTAGGGTGTGATTACTAAGGCTCTTAAGAAAATATTTGATCTAGCAACACCAAAGGCGGGTTTTGACAGTTGAGCGCAAACTCCAAAATTCAATTAAACACAACTTATTATTAGATTTTCCATCTAGAAATTCTGAACAGATCTTTTATAAGAATAGATTTTGTGCTAGGTAGTAAGTGTCTACTAAATATAACTCTGGAGACTCGATTGTAAATAAAGGAGTTTGTATAATTTAATTTACCAATGATATTAGTATCTATTTAAGTGTCAATGGAGCCAGATGCAGAGGGTTTATCATAATTTCCACTTAGTTTGACTTGACACTAGCTTAGTACTAAGTAAGCGGATGGTCGACGTTGACCAGTATCTCACCTGGTGTAATGCGGCCTACAATAAAACACATCCTATAAACAATCTCATATCACTTCGGCCTTAAAGTCAATCAGGTTATATCCTGCAGGAAACACAGATTTCAACTTACAGTGATTGATTGGAAATCACTATGTAAAAGATTCAGGCCTATTAAAGCGAGCTCCTGTATAATCACAGTCAAATATGTATGCCTTGATCAAGTCTTATATCGCAGCACTAATGGTTGAATTTTTAAAATTCGAATGGTAATGGAACTCATAATTATTTGCTTATTAGTTGCGAATAATAACATAACTGGCACAATATATGACAATGCGTGTCGTGACGTGATAATAACTTGTACTGTTATTTGTCATCACTTACCATTTAGTTACTAATCCCTCGTCGTTCCCTAAACATCGTGAGTAAACCTGGGCTTATAATTTCTAATTATAAGATTGTAATCGCCAACCCGCATTGAACAAGCGTGGCGATTAATGCTCAAACCTTCACCGTGTGAGAAGAGGCTTTGCTCAGCAGTGGGCATTTATAGGCTGTTGATGAGTACTGTTCCCTGTAACCCAATTACATTGGTCTTCCAATATGTTCTCGATTTCACCTCAATAGCTTGTTAGGTACTTTATGATACCAATTGTTATCAGAAACTTATTGGTTTTGATACCTCAGTAAACTTTTACGTGTATAAAAGTTTCGGAAAACTTGTGAATATTTTAGACGGGTTTCTCTGGGTAGGTTTATTTTATATATTTTTGGATTTAGTCTCTGCATTTTAAATTGTTAACTTTTCAAGTCTTTTTATAGTATCAGTTGGATAATTCAAACAATTTTCTACTTCTATTTCTTCACAGTCCCTTCACTCTTGTTTTAAGTGTGGGAGAGCCATGCTTCGGCGCGAATGGGCCGGCTCTACCGGATACCACGGCCTCACAGAAAACCGACGTGAAGCAACGCTTGCGTTGTGTTTCGTCGTGTGAGTGAGGTTACTGGAGGCCCAATTACCCTCCTCTTCATTTTTACTATCAATATAAATAAGGTTAATAATTATGTATTACATTGAGCAACCTACTTAAACTGTCAAACACCGCGAGGACACCGGTGACCGCAACCTATTTTTCTTTAATTGTGTCTATAATGACGGTACTCAAAGGGTTAAAGAAAAAAAATCAATTTATTACCCACATACATTTTATTACAATAAAAACATTCTTCGACACCTTATTGGAAAAGTAAAATTTCCTTTCCTGTTTACACATTTTTCTTGTTTTCCTTGTCAAACACAGATGTAATTCAGTGAAAGATTTTTCATAATATGTCAAGATAAAATATTGTTATTTATCATTTCCTTAAGAGCATTCTGATAGTAGATACATACGTATGTATCAAAAATTGAATAATTTTATAATCTTTACTAAAGATATCAAATTACTCTTTAGAGTGAAGAAGGTTTGTGTATAGGGTTACCACCCGTACTTTATAACAAATTATTGTACGTTATTTAAGGTAATTGTACTCTATACTTTATAAAAATAATAAAGTACACGAAAATAATTTATTTTTACAAACTTTATTTCTATTAAAGTCGTAAGTATTTTTCGGTAAACTTATCGATTCGATATTTATCGATTTATGTTGAATCGATTTCGCCACTTGCCAGCACCACTTAGACAATTTCTAGTAAAGATGCAATTGTTTAGTATTTCAATGCAATTGTTTAGTAAAGGTACTAATTTAATACAAACTGCAAAAAGGCATAAAAAACATTTTTAAATATAATACTAAATAAGAATAAATTGTACTTTATTTTTGTACTATGTACTTTTTTCTAACCTATAATCGTGAATGTACTTTAAATGTCAAAAAAGGTGGCAACCCTATTTATGTATGAGTCGCGGTCGTGTGTCGTCCGACAATTTCAAGTAAACAAATTCTAACACGATTAGTTACGTTTTTATTATTCTCTGAAAAGAGGGGGGAATGAGACTGGGAGGGTAAACAATATGAAACCTAGTCAAAGTGAGTCATGGTTCTAATTGAAAATATTTGACATAAACTTAACATCACGCCTTTTATCCCCGAACGGTTAGGAAGAGGTGTACATTACGGTACTTAATGCCATTGTACAATGTACATGCCTAACATCCACTTTTCGCTATTTATGTTATGAGTCTCATGTAAGAGTGGGTGAGAATTAAAAAAAAAATCTAAGCATACTTTGCCCGACCCGAGAATCGAACCCGATGCCTCGCACTTGCGATATATCTAGCTTCAACAATTCAAATTTGGATTTGTCCACAAATTACATTAACTAATATTTCTCTAGATTACGCATATAACAGTATGTTACCTATTATCGGAAACTAAAACATCTGCTACATTCTCATCTTGAATAACATACTCTGGCTGACATTTGAATATTGTACTGTGGCACCTAAATGCAAGTGTATCATGTTAATAAATCTGACACGGCAACAGGTTATGTGCAACATGTTGTGACATCACTACGAGATTTGAATATGTCACTACAATTGTATTCGTGGCGCTAAAATACATATGACATGACACAAAATACCATGTCATTTACTAGAGAATTGTTGATTGTATGGAATGAAAGCAAATACAAAAACGGTTTTATAGGTACACACATAACAACATAACCTTCAATGGTTATGGATTATGTTATATGTATAGGCAGAGGTGTACATTATGCCACTGTACAATGTAACACCCACTTTGCACTATTTATGTTATGAGTCCCAGGTGTGAGAGAGTGAGCCTATTGCCATATACCTGGCACAATTCCAGACTCCGTGCTACTACTGAGAATTTTTAAAAACCCAGTAATACTTTGCCCGACCCGGGAATCGAACCCGAGACCCCTTGCCCGGCGGCGGTCGCACATGCGACCACACGGCCACACATCAATCTATACAAAGCCAGTTTATCCTGGTGCCGCGTCGAATCATCTTTCCGCACATTTAACGTTCAGTTTATACTGGTTATGTAAAGCTCGATGTGTACACGGCTACACCTAGGTATATATTATTTATTTTCGGAATTTTTTCACTCTCTCAAATGTTTTGGTGTTTTTTCCAAATGCTCTGTTTGTTATTGTCTTCTAGATATCTATAATTCATTTTTTAATTGATTTTGTTTTTCTTGTTCACAGGTCTCAAAAATGTCGAAGAGTAAAGAATTGATGGAGATAGACAATTTTAAGTCCACGTAAGTACGACAAACAACCATTTAATATACTAGAGCTATAAATACTGGGACTATAGAAGCAAACAAAAAATATTTTATACTTTGTGACGTTTTTTCATTTAGGTATCATAACGGGATGGTTATTTCGCTTACCAAAATATTGTCATTTACTGTTTACATTCCATTACAAAATATAATATTAACCTTAAAATATTCTACAGGCAACCCAAAATAAACAATGAAGGTAAACCTTCGAAAGGACACAATTCCTTAAATCATGGAAAAGGTAAATTTTGTCCCGAAACCAACAATAAAAAGTTTCTATTCATAAAATAATCTGTTTTTAATTCATTCACTCAAATATCAAAGAGTAACTTTTAGGTCAAATTGAGGTTTTAAATTACGTAGTCTTTTATAAATAACAGTCTAATGAGGATGTCATTAATTAAAATTCCTCAGACACTTTTTTACCTGAAAACTTCTCACGATAGCTAAAACAATGGCTTCGAAACTATGTGAACAAGATCTGTGACGTCATTGGATCATCTTTGTTCTTCAAATGTTTTATTTTATACTCTTTTTTTGTAGTAAGGCATTGCTTTACTCTTGTACGAGCAATACACAAAGAGCCATCAGACCACCACAGATGGGGCCCAATAGGGCCGATGCCGATTCGGAGTCGCGGAGAACCTAACGGGTAACCGGGGCTCCGGCTCGACGTGCAGGAGAAGGAACGGGGTGGTTTTTAGTCAGTAAGAGTCTGACACTCCCTCCCGCCTCACCTAGGCGGGAGCAGTCATTCGATGATTTTCCCCCCATAAAAAAAAAAATACACGATAAATATATGTGCGATCTCTTACAAGTACATAATATAACACCCAGCCTCTGTACTTTAATTCAGCAGTACTAATTAATATTCTCAATACTACGTATATAACCTACAGATGCTAGTGTTTTATATAAAACAGTTTAAACAATAACTGATGAGACTATACTCTCTGACGTAATAGCATTTACCATTTTATGCTTATGCAAATAAAGTCCCTTTTCTGTTTACTAATTTGCAGACCATGTTAACATCTGTAGCTACTTAATTTGATACGTTTCCATGGTTCCTTGTCCCATCGGGTCTATTTGCGAAAAACCTTCAATTTATTAGTTAGCAAACGAACCAATGACGCATATCAACAATAGAAATTAAGCCTCCTGAGGTTTCCATTGAGTTGTGATGACAAAAACCCGTTCCGTACCATTGGGCTTCACATTGAAACTCCAAGGTCATTGATGAAAGAGATATTTATTTTATTTCTGACTCATTTATACAGTACATGTTGGTATATTCATTTAACCATCATCTAGAGGTAGATGTGCTAGCATCATTATTAACCCAATTCCTCTTCATATATATAATTATTACTTATGTATTTGTCCTATGACTATCGCTAGTATGTGACCGAATTTTAACATTTATTCTATGGAAATACTGTTTAGTAACTGGATCGATTTAAAGACTATGAATCTAACCCATTTGGGACCAAATGCAAACTACACATAATTTAATAAAAAATACTTTATTAACTCAATGATATGACGCCCACAAACTAATATCAGCAAAAAAAATTCAAAAAATATATTTAGAAGTATTAAAAAAAATGCCGTCCTTGATTGGGGACAACGGTCTCATGTGTAGTACTTTTCGAAGTAGTAACTGTTTTCGACACATAAGGTTCTAACGCATTATTTGCATTGATATCACAGTTTTTTTATGATGAACTGCGTATCGTAACAGATATTAACTAAATCTCTGCGGAAAATGTCTAAATCAATTTGATGTGACGCGCCTATATTTTTTTTTGAGGGTAAAAATCATGCATTGCGTTTTCCGCCTGGGGGACTCTTACTGGCTAAAAACCAACACGTTCCTAATTCTGCTTCAAGCCGAAGCCCCGGTGACCCACTAGGTTATTCATAGTAGTCGGGCATCTGTCCCACTGGACCATCTCGATCTAAGGCGGCCTGATCTGCACTTTGAAGCACGCGCGTAACGCCACGCACCTTACAGGTACAGGTCTGGTTCTGGGCGGCGATCTGTTCTTGCTACTATGACTGCTTCGCAGAAAGAGATGTTTTCCAGTTCCCCTCGATCCGCACCACAGCCAGAACCTAAGCTGGACGTGGAAGATTATCGTCGTCGATCACTTCCCTGAAGACACGGCGGTGGTCAACGTATACAGGGCATAATGCTACTTTATCCTCTGGGTGGACTTCGCTGTGACGACACCAGAATACAGCTGGAGGAAATGCCCCCTACTGCTGAATTCTGATATCGGATGCGACGCCTGGTACTGTAGGTGGACTTTTGCATCTTCGGTCTTGATGCCCATCAGATTTTAGAATATGAACGCGTAAAGATATGTGGGAATTGATGATGCTCTTCGTGAATTAGCGTCTGCTGTCACCAAGAATTAGCTATAACTAAGTTTAGCCTATAGGTGACCTTTATAAATTGGAAAACAAAATACAAATCAGGTATAAATATTTTAAAAATATACTGCAGATGTGCCCATTGTCCCCATACGGGGACACCATATTTTTTTCTAACTTTCCCCTAAGCGGAATTGAAAGTATAAGGATATTCTTCAATATTGTTTTAATTGACACTATAAGCAAGCAATAATCACAAAAAAGTTTTATAAATCTTCATAAAACGTACTACAAACGCCTCTTCAATATAATTCCATAACGTACTCTTGATAAAATTGAAATATGACCCCTTTTTTGTAGCAATTTGTCAAAAGTTCTAATAATTTTAGGAAAGTACACTACTCCTCATTATAAATACCCATGAAATGTGAAGATAGCTAAAATAATTAATAACCAGCGGGTAAAAGAAAACCTGTCCCCATATGGGGACGGCGGGCCCAAATGGGCTAAACTGTCAAACACCGCGAAGACACCGGTGACCGCAACCTATTGTTCTTTAATTGTGTCTATAATGACGTTTTCAAAGGGTTAATCTGTGTCACTTCGCGCTTCATTCGTAATTTTCATCGTAAGATCATCCAAGTACCATTAAAAAAAAAACAGGCAGATTTATGTTTAAATAAAAAATAATTAACAATTTGTATTTTTTTTCAGAGCGGACCTGACCAGTAATCCTGGCTTCCAATCGTCGCTTAGCATAGCATCGAAGAACATCGATGAGAAACCTTATAACCCATTCGAGCATCGGACTGTGGAACATCCTAATTCGTAAGTATTTGTTTGTATAATAACTTTGAGGTACCGTATACACCAAACTTATTGTCGGCTGGTGACTGTGAGCGCGCGTTACTCTGTTTATCGTGTTTCTATGTATACAGTAAACTGTACGCTCCCGAAAAATACCGACAGGTGATAGTAAAAATCAAGTTTTATTTTCATGAAAGTAAGGATATGAAAGAAAGAAAATATAATTTATTCGTCACAAGGCATGAACCACCAAATATACAAACATAAAATAACATTTAAAAACACCAGCAAATAACAACAAAAACAAAAAATAATATTAAAAAGTAAAATAAAAGAGCAACATGGCCACGACGAAAGGGCTCGCCGACTCAGTTTGGCAATTTAATGTTTCTTTAATGTTATAATCGTTGTGATCAAATGCTCAAGGCTGATGTCACACTAAAACTAAAACGATTCAAATTGTAATATCAATTTCTTTTTGTCAGCGTCTCGGGAACATTTCGATTTAACATCGCGTTCACATCAAACCGATTATAGGTAGGTAGGCTATTACATAGTGCTGTGTCGACAGTGAGTGTACTCACTGTCGGCGGCGCACAAAACGTTTGGTGTGAACGATACCTAAGTCTAGTTTATCTTACAAGTATTTCAGAGAATTGGGATGGTGACGGGGTATGAAAATTAAAAATCTAATTAGTCCGTAAGTTAGGTAACTTACTTAAAAATATTAGACAAGTGTATTTTCTATAAAACAATACAAACAAATCAAAGTTTAGGAGTGGGTAAAAAATGTACATAGAAGTGACGTCACGCGACATTTTTAATCAATACATCGTGGAAATTATTCGTTTCTGTAAGAAAATAAAAAATACGTGTTAATGATTTAAAATAATCTACAAGACGGATATTAAAGTAAAAATTAGACATCTACCCTATTAAAGATAATATCATTTTAATCTCGAAACTAGATTCAATTACTCAAAGGCAGAATGTCGGAAAATACCAGTACCAATTTCTATGTCTTACTTCAAAATTCCTTGATTACTTAAGGAAAACTTTGAGCTTAACATCTTAAATAGTATTTAGGAATTTGAAAGTCTAGAATTGAAATCGGTAGGTATTTTTGAACAATAAAAAGTAAATTAAATTTGACTAGTAGTAGTCGAGTTCGCCGTTAAATAATTACGTGATTAGACCGAAAAACATAATAATTAATTTTGTATGTCTCACGAAAGTTATAATATAAATAAAATGTCATATATCAATAAAACTAGCTTCTACCCGCGACTTCGTACGCGCAATCCCGTCTTCTCCTGTTCCCGTAGGCTTTTCAGGATATTTTTCGTCATAAGAACATTCTCCTAACATTAACAAACACAACAAACAAAAACACTGCCAAATTGGTCTAGCCGTTTTCAAGTTATAGCGTGACAACGGGAAACGGGTTTTATTTATATACTAGCTTCTGCCAGCGGCTTCGCTCGCGATCCCAGGGGTAAAATGCCTATGTATCACTTCAGACCATAATCTACCTCTGTTCCGAATTTCATTCCGGTCCCTTCATTCGTTTTAATATGACTGAGTAACAAACATACACATAAACTCACATATTTTCATTTTTAATATCGAGTCAAGCTAATTTCAACCATTGGCCTTTCAGTTACAGCGTAAAGTCTATGAATGAGTATTATAAACGTTAGAGTAGACAAATACAATCAGAAATCACCGAATTGCTCAGCTATCGGGAGTTTCACGTGTTATTGTGAGTCAACCATAAAAGATAGACATATGCTGTCGAGGAATATTTTTTATATAATTTTAAGGAGAATATTTCCGTCATACATGATTTCTATGTAGCTTTAACCTATAAGCCTGCACACGTGACGAAAGCTTAAAAAATGGAGTAACTTCTCCCGTTTTTCCAATATTTCCCTTTACTGCTCTGCTCCTATTGATCGTAGCGCAATGAAAAGTATACTATAACCTGCCCAGGAGTATGAAGAATAATTGTGCCAAATTTCGTTAAAATCCGTCAAGTAGTTTTTGTTTCCATAACGAACATACAGACAGACAGACAGACAGACAGACAAAAATTTTACTGATTGCATTTTTGGCATCAGTAGCGATCCCTAACCACCCCTTGATAGTTATTTCTTAAATATATTTTATGTACAGAATTGACCTCTCTACAGATTTATTATAAGTATAGATTATACAACATGTAACTTAAATAACGCACATCCTGAAAATAGTTTGTTCAGAATCGTTAACTGAATCGATTTATATAATTTTTAGTATAAGTAATTTTTTATCCCAAAAATAATTAAAACTACGTAAATTATTGTCATATTAACCCTGTATTGTTAAAGCAAATCGAAATGGACCGTAAGTCAAAGCAATAAGACTTAAAATAGCAGTTTTAATTGTATTGATACAAATTCTATCATTCAACAAAATAAAGAAAAATAAACCTTGTGACGAAACCAGTAAGGATGCATACACATGTTAAATTAAAAATTTAGTGTAGATAGGTATGTATTATGATTATAACATAATATTCTAATTGGAGTGTTTGAGGATGTGCGTTAATTACGTTACATGTTGTATATAGATGTATGATAAACAATTAAAAATATTTACCTTACTTATAAATATTTTTAACACCAACGGGAACATAAAAATACTGTTCATTTCTAACCGTAGCACGAAATAATGAAAACAAAGCAGTTGAAACATTTTATAATAATTTCAAACAGCGCGGATGTAAAGAAAAAAATATGCTAAATAATGGTGATTAATGTAATCATTAGCTGCGTAAAATCTTCGCCAACGCTATCGCTAATGATGAAGATTACTCAAACGACAAAATAACTTTTAAGGTCATTTTACACTTAACCTCGATCAACCATCGAACCTAATGACTGCCTCGTTGACCGAATGGTCGCAAGTGCGACTGCCGGGCAAGGGGTCTTGGGTTTGAATTCCGTTTCGGGCAAAGTACAACTGGGTTTTTTTTTTAATCCACAGTAGTTGCACGGTGTCTTAAATTGTGCCCAGTATATGGCAATAGGCTCACCCCCTATTATATGGGACCCATAACAAAGAAAAAAGTGGGTGTTACATTGTACAGTGGCATCAAGTACCGTAATGTGCACCTCTGCCTACCCCTTCACGGATAAAAAGGCGTGGTCTGATGTTATGTTATTACACTTACCTAACCAACACCACCACAACCCAGCTCCAACCCAGCAATCTTATGTCATATGAAATAATTTTTATAACATCAATATAAAAATACTGTAAGCGCGCCGCCCGCGCGCCGTTGTCGCGCTTACAACCTTTTTGGATTATTTTCAAAGTAAAAAACGCCGCGCCGGATCTGAGCCGGAGTCGTGTCGGAATGGAGCCGGAGCCATGCTTGTTTAGTGTGTTATAACCTTTATTCTTACCAAAAATACGAAAGGATGAAAAATGTTAACTCTTGGGACCCTGTATAATGTGGCTCAGTACATCAAGTTACTTAGAGCATTAATCCCAGTTTCCTGGAAAATGTCATTAGGTTTACTTGTCATGCTTTAGGTAGAAACGGTGACATGAAATAAAAAAAGTGAGTTGTAAAAAAGTGAAAAAGTGACTGCCTCGTTGGCCGAGTGGTCGCAATTGCGACTGCCGAGCAAGGGGTCTCGGGTTCGATTCCCGGGTCGGGCAAAGTATTACTGGGTTTTTAAAAAATTCTCAGTAGTAGCACGGAGTCTGGAACTGTGCCCGGTATATGGCAATAGGCTCACCCCCTATTACATGGGACTCATAACATAAATAGTGAAAAGTGGGTGTTACATTGTACAGTGGTATAATGTGCACCTCTGCGTACCCCTTTGAGGATAAAAGGCGTGATGTTATGTGTGTGAGTTGTAAAAAAGGTTTTTCAAAACCAGATTGGACGTAAAGATTCAGGGAAATTGTTAAAAGAAAATTATTGAGTAAATTCATCTAGTGGTTGTAAAGGTTTTGAATGTATGTTTTTATATTTGGATCACAACCATTTTTGCGGATTACGTCACTACACAAAATTTATTTAAAGCAAATTCTCATGAAAGAGGCGATTGTTAAATTGCGATAGGTACTCGATTACTGCACGGTTGGTGCGGTGGCTGGGCAACCGGCTGCCGTACAACGTGTCGCGGGTTCGATTCCCGCACGGGACAACACTTTATGTGATCCACAAATTGTTGTTCCGGGTCTGCGTGTCATGTGAACTTGTATGTTTGTAAACGCACCCACGACACAGGAGATAATCCTAGTATGAGGTAAAGTTTTTAAAAAATAAAAAAGATTACTTATTGCGAAATGTTAAACCCAGATTATTGACACTTTAAAACCATAAAACATAAAGGGCATGGTACAAGCAAAACAAAGTCTTACGTTATCACTCAAATAAGGTTGACAAAGGACTGAAAATTAAAATAACAACATACATTTACACCAAATTAAGTTACAATTCTCAAGAAAACCTTGACGTACAGGTATTGACCGTCCAATCAACAAATAAAAGATGTTTACAGGTACTGAAATTAGCATGCAATTATTTGTTAAAAACATCTGACAGGCGTAGAAAAAAAATCTACATTGTTACCCAAAAATAAGCCGATACGCAGATTGTTGCTGTGTACTTCTCATACCTACGTATGTGTGTACCTACTTGATATTACCCATTATAGTTATCAGTTCTCCGTATTCCAAAACTAGCTTTTACCCGCCGCTTCGCTTGCGTCACAAAAGGATAAAAAGTAGCCTATGTGACATATGCCAATACACACGGCGCCATCTATACCAATAATTTCGTTTTCCCTCGAGAATACCAATTTTTTCCGGGATAAAAAGTACCCTATTATTTAATTCATACTTTTAACTTCACGTCTGCAAAAATTCAAAGCAATCGGTTTAGTAGTTACGGCGTGAAAATGGAACAAACAAACACTCACTTTCCGATTTATAATATTAATAGTAAAGATAACGTATCTAAATACTAAGGCAAATACTATGCAAGGTACGGAAGTTGGGAAAAAACTATTGATTCAATAGAATATGTGGGAGAGCCATGCTTCGGCACGAATGGGCCGGCTGGACCGACGTGATACAACGCCTGTCGTCGTGTGAGTGAGGTTACCGGGGGCCCTAATACGTGTCTAATATTTTTTCATTACCTAACTTACGAACTAATTAGATTTTCAATTTTCATACCCTGGCATCATCCCAATTATGCCTTTCTTTTGAAGCCTAATAAGACAAGTTTAGACAAAATCCATGATTTTTATTTCATTTAGTATGGTTACAGACAAGCTAACAAACAGTCACAACACATTTATTTAATTCAAAAAACAAAACAGTTTACAGTCAAAACAAACTGAAAGTTTTCTCGTTTCTGTTATAAGAGCTATCTTTCGGAATGGCTGAACCGACTTAAATGTTTGTGAAACTTTGTAGACAGGTAGAATTTAATTTATTGAAAAACAACTGTAATGAAATTTACGTAAATACCTTAAACAATTTTGTTTGACGTCTATTAATCATGTGGAATATGTCTAAAATACTTTAAAAACAATATCGTAAATAAATTGTAGACGCATATAGAAGTAACACCAACTGGTCTAACTTTCTTATTAAAGTTAAAACACATTCACTCCAACTGTTCGGCATCGTAAATAGTACCTACATAATAATAAATATCCCGATCGATTTCCATCATGGTTGTCAGTTTAACTAGATTTTTCATCAGTTAATTTTTAACTATAGAATAAAATTGACAGTTGACAGTTTTCAGTGCGAAAAGGATTGTCAAATATTGAAAGTTATTCCTCAGTTAAAATTTATCAGAGCATTGAAAAATTGGCACTAAGCAGGAGAAATATTAGTGCACGTGCACAAGTGTGCCCTCATTGTGCACAGGGGTTATTTTACTCGGTAAATGTCATTAGCACTTTTTGCCTGACGCAGCGATCGAACCCGCGATACTTTGCACAACAGCCGGTCATAACTACTACGCCAACTGTAAAGTCGGTTCGGCATCGTATTTAGAGTTCGGGTACAAGCTCGTTAGCTCAATATTTTAAGTGCATACCGTTTTTTTTTTTAGGGATGAAATTATTGAATGACTTCTCCTGCCTGGGTGAGGCGGGAGGGAGTGTCAAACTCATACTGGCTAAAAACCACCCCGTTCCTACTCCTGCACTTCGAGCCGGAGCCCCATTCGTGGCCCCATTCGTTGTGGGCTCTTTGAGGCGCGCGCTAACGCGACACACCGTATGCTCGGGTCTGGTTCTGGTCGGGCGGCAAGCCATCCATGCTCGCCGTCCGCAGGCCCGCAATTGCCTACCGATATGAGGCCATTTAATGACGATGACCTCATTTAATTGACGAATTGGAGTGTTATGGCTTCTCCCGAGTTCTATGTATATGTAACTCAACTCAATTCGATTGCAGAAACGGATCGATCGATTATGAAGATAATAAATAAATATTACTCGCGACTTTGCCCAGAATTTTTTTAAGAGTTATAAAATAAAATAAACACACAAACGTTTATATTTGAATACCAGACATAACATAACATAACATAACATCATGCCTTTTATCCCCGAAGGGGTAGGCAGAGGTGCACATTATACCACGGGTGAGCCTATTGCCATATACCTACCGGGCACAATTCCAGACTCCGTGCTACTACTGAGAATATTTAAAAACCCAGTAATACTTTGCCCGACCCGGGAATCGAACCCGAGACCCCTTGCCCGGCAGTCGCACTGACGACCACTCGGCCAACGAGGCAGTCAACGAGTTGAATACCAAATGAAATATGAAATACTATACAATATATATAGTATGATTTGCTCTAATAAAAAAGAGCGGTGTCATTAAACCATAAACACAAATGAATCTCATAATGACTGCAATTAGCAACAAATGCAAATACAAAATTAGAAGTCACGTGCACAGACATATTTTTATTTGAGACACGTTTTGGTGATAATTTCTTTTTGTTTTAGTATTTTTTATGTTCGCGGATAAATGTGCAACTAATTGTTTATAGGTACATGTACTTTGTTGCAGAAAATACTATTAAATGTAATACTTTTTACTCTCCAAAGGCCAGTTATTGCCATTTATATATTTACTAGCTTTTGCCCGCGGCTTCGCTCGCATCACAAAAGTATAAAAAGTAGCCTATGTGACATATACCAATACATACAGCGCCATCTATACCAATACTTTTGTTTTCCCTCGGGAATATCAAATTTTTCCGGGATAAAAAGTATAAGAAGTAGTAGTTATTTAATCCAGACTTCTAACTTTACGTCTGCAAAAATTCAAAGCAATCGGTTTAGTAGTTACGGCGTGAAGGTGGAACAAACAAACAAACAAACAAACTCACTTTCAGATTTATAATATTATATAGTAAGGATGTGTAGCATGCAAATTTTTTTCTTTCTTTTTTTTGATGACGGTTACATTTAAAAGAGATAGAATAGAAAAGATTGTTTGAACCTTAACTGAATAGCTCAACTGTACAATTGAATCATAAGGTGTGAAGGCTGTATGAACCTACGATCTGACTGTAAGGTGTAAAACCTGCAATACAATACCACAACTTGACTGTGTAGCGGGTTCGATTCCCGCACGGAACAACTCCTTGTGTGATCCACAGATTGTTGTTCCGGGTCTGAGTGTCATGTGTATGTGAAATTGTATGTTTCCAAACGCATTAGCGACACAGGGGATAATCCAAGTGTGAGGTAACATTAAAAAAAAAACTTTATAATAAGAATGAAATTAAGTTTGGTAATTTTTCTTATAAGATTATATGTTTTTTTGCAGTACAATCGGATCGATAGTACATTTATTGAAGTGCTGCCTTGGATCCGGTATATTGGCGATGCCTGCAGCCTTTAAGAATTCAGGACTAATAGCTGGAACGATTGGAACTTTGATTGCTGGCTTCGTTTGTACACACACCGTTCATATATTGGTAAGTCTAAAAAAACATAGAAATTATTCATTTGTTTAAGTGTGAAAGAGCTATGCTTGCAAGAAACAACGCTTGCATTGTGTTTTGTCGTGTGACTGACGTTACTATACTAATACTTCTGTTTTCCCTCGGGAATATCAAATTTTTCCGGGATAAAAAGTACCTTATTATTTAATCCGGACTTCTAACTATACATCTGCTAAAATTCAAAGCAATCGGTTTAGTAGTTATGGCGTGAAAGCGGAACAAACAAACAAACTCACTTTCCGATTCATAATATTAGTAAGGATTACCGTCTAGACGCCTTGGTAACAAGCCAAAAGCCACTAACTACCAGTCCCAACATATAAGGATATTAAATTAGAATACTTGAATGAGATATTGCTTAGTAAAGATGGCGTCTAATTTAATATCTGTTGTAGTTAAATTGATTGCTTCCTTAGATTAGGCGCAAGTAGAACTGGGATGGGAATTCAGCTTATTGTTACATTTCATATTTGTCTGAATTATTTTTATCTGCTGCTACCTCCTTGCTCTAGTGGTCGCAAGTGCGACTACCGGCCGAGGACTTTCTGGTTCGATTTCCGGGTCGGGCAAAATAGATATAAAACAAATACATTCAAAATAAAAACAAAACATTAATAACACATTTTATAAAAGAGAAAGCAGCATGGAACATTTTTTCTTATGATCCACCGGGTGCTCATAAGGACGCTCGAAGGGTTTACCTATTTGACTTATCACTTGTATAATATAAAAATAACATAACACCATTACCCTTATCTTCGAAGGGGGTAAGCAGAAGTACACATTACGGCACTTAATACCACTACCCAATGTAACACCCATTTTTAATTATTTATGTTATGAGTCTCATGTAATAAGAAGTGATATACCGCCTTGCCATATACCGGGCACAATTCTGCTCGTTTGCCTCCTATTCCATAAAAAAGACTCCGTGTTACTACTGAGGTTTTTGAAATCTCTTCATACTTACTACAGTCCTTTTAACTGAGAAACGCAATAACCAAGAGTTAAATGTCCTTATTTCACCTTGTACTATCTTACATGAAATGAAAGGGCTCTGTTATGACGTCATATATACGTCACTACCACCTACGCAATCATATTGTTTGATTGATAACGTTCTACGTCGGATTTCAACTTACCAACGTATTATAATTATATTAAACAAGATGTATATTAATTAAAGCATAACAGTCCAATGAACCGTTTGTAATCATATTAACTGTGTTTGTTTATTTGTATATTTAATGATTATACATTAACATTTTGGCCTAACTGCCTCGTTGGCCGAGTGGTCGCAAGTGAACTGCCTCGTTGGCCGAGTGGTCGCAAGTGCGACGACGTGCCGTGCAAGTGGATTCGATTCCCGGGTCGGGCAAAGCATAACTGGATTTTTAAAATTTCTCAGTAGTAACAGTAGTGCCCGGTATATTTTTTATTTTATTTATTTAACTTTATGCAACAAGAGTAGGGTGAACTCATCTAACTTCGTGACAAAGGCATTTGAGTAATAAAATACCAATAAATTATTAATTAATTTAATTCAGTCTCCGCATGAGTTTTAATCAGTCTTTTATGAGGAATATTAGCACAAATAATCAGATTTTTTTCTAGAAACCTAAGAGTTCTACCAAATTTACTAAACCGAATTATTAGGCGAGTCACAGAATTAGATGAGTTCACCCTACATAGGCGGGCTTAATGCCATGGACATTCTTACTAGCCAACCTTTATGGCAATAGACTCACTCCCTATTACATGGGACTCATAACATAAATAGTGAAAAGTGGGTGTTACATTGTACAGGGGCATAATGTACACCTCTGCCTACCTCTTCGGGGATAAAAGTCGTGATATTATGTTATAGGATAACCCGGTAATCGAGTAGACGAATCACCTGATGGTAAGCAATCGGCGTCGCCCATGGACACCTGGAACATCAGAGGCGTTACAAGTTTGTTACCGGCTTTTTTGGATTACGAATTTGTGGATTGTTGGGGAATTCGTGGCGGTGGTGGTTGTGGTATCACTCCGGCTAAGCCGGCCTATTCGTCCCGAAGCATGACTCTCCCACACTTAAACTTATTTCAAACATTAAATAATAATTAATCAAATACATATGCTTAACTAACAAGATATTTATTTTGTTGATACGTGTGGCATGCATAGCCCTTAGCAGATAAAAACGTTTTTTTTATGGCATAGGCCGGTAAACAAGCAGTCGGATCACCTGATGGTAAGCAATCGGCGTCGCCCATGGACACCTGGAACACCAGAGGCGTTACGAGTGCGTTACCGGCTTTTTGGGGATTAGGAGTTTAAGGATTGTTGGGGATTCAGGGATTGGGGAGATTGGGGAAGGTGAGGGATAATTGGGCCTCCGGTAACCTCACTCACACGACGAAACACAACACAAGCGTTGCTTCACGTCTGTTTCTGTGAGGCCGTGTTATCACTCCGGTCGAGCCGGCCCATTCGTGCCGAAGCATGGCTCTTCCACACGTTATTTATTTGTGATAATAATTATATTTATATTTGAATCCATTTCTAGGTAAGAACATCGCAAGAAGTTTGTGTGGACGCGAAGAAGCCATCGCTTAGTTTCGCCGAGACCTGTGGAGCGGCATTTACGTATGGACCGAAAAGATTACAAACTTGGGGCAATTTTATAAAGTAAGCAAAAGATTAATTTACTCTTCACATACATACATAAATAATCTCACGACTGTCTCCCATGGAGGTAGGCTGAATTCTTACGTACCTCTTTTGCTTCCTTAACTCATTGGATGCCGTGTCGGACAATGATTCCGACGCTAGCGGAGGATTAGCCTTTAACAGTTTTTATCGGCAGTTAAAGGCTTAACAGTCATCAGTTTCTTCATGCATGCTCGTCGGTTGACTTACTTCTACCTACTTGACAAGCACATATTTGCTAACGCCCCAGAAAGGTACAACGAAAGGTTAAAGAAGGTAACGCACCAGAACCACATCTCACCAATTCCACCTCATGTGATCACATTCCCTCTTTCTTTCTTTCTTTTACCTCTTTCGTTCATTTACCTAATGGCAGTTCAGAGTGTCAGTGGCTACTTATAAGCTGCTGATGGTGATATGGCAGAAAAGTAGGTATTATTTGATCCAGTTTAAATGTAGTCTTAACCTTTGCGGATTGTGTACAAACAATTAACATTTTGGCACCAGTAAAGAAAAAGATATTAATCGTACATTGAACCCAAGTACTCAGCCTAATTTGTATTTTATTCTAGGTATTAGAAATTATAAACTAAAATTACTTTGTTATGTCGGCTCATCTTAAGAGCTACAAATTCTTGAACCAGTATTTGTCTAGATGTCTAGCTTAATTAAATCTGTATATAAATAGATATCTTCGTCAGAATATATTTAGATAAGTATTTAAGATTTCACAAGGCTTTGTCTGAAGCAATGGCTAAAAGAAAAATAGTTGCTTTTGTAGTGGTCTAGATAGTTAGTCAAAAGTTCTAGAGCCTTTGACAAACAATTAGCATAAACTAATTACTATCCGGTAAAAGCTTCATCAACCTATAAATGCCCACTGCTGAACATAGGCCTCTTTTCACACGGAGAAGGTCTGAGCATTAACCACCACGCTTGCTCATTGCGGGTTATCGATTTCAAACTTGTAATTAAAAATTATAAGCCCAGGTTTCTTCACGATGTTTTCTTTCACCCTTTGTCCGTGGTGTCTAAATAATCTTAGAAAGTACATACAAGATACAACTTGGAAGAAGTCCCATAGGTACTTGCCGATGGTAGGTTTCGAACCCACATCCTCATAAATGAGAAGCGGGCGTCTTAAATCTCCGGTTCTCGTACTTCAATATTAATGATGCTTAGCACTCTATACGTCTAGCAAAAGCTAAGCGGGGTAATTCGTTGTGTTGATCTGAAGTAACTGATGCAATTTTTTCCATGAGTGTCGCTATATGCAACTAATTTGATGAATACTAGACAGTATTTTCGTGGTGGCTTAGAGGCTTGTCATGTTGGTCGCGGCCGTTGAAATCCTATACCAACGGCATCAGCAAGTGACTTTTTCTAAGTTATACGTACTTTTTAAGATTATTTAGATACTACTGACTAACGGTAAAGAAAAACATTGTGAGGAAATCTGGGCTAATCCTTCCTTACTATAATATTATAAATGGAAAAGTGAGTTTGTTTGTTTGTTTGTTCCGCTTTAACGCCGTAACTACTGAACCGATTGCTTTGAATTTTTGCAGACGTAAAGTTAGAAGTCTGGATTAAATAATAGGGTACTTTTTATCCCGGAAAAATATGGTATTCTCGAGGAAAAACGAAATTATTGGTATAGATGGCGCTGTATGTATTAGCATATGTCACATAGGCTTTTCGTGATGCGTGCGAAGCCGCTGGTAAAAGCTAGTAATTTCTAATTACAAGTTTCAAATCGCAAAACCACACTTAACCCAGGATGATAATTAATACTCAAACCTTCTCCGTGTGAGAGGAGGCCTTTAATCAGCCGTACCCAAGTATAGGTTGTTGATGATAATGATGACTGGACTGAAGATGTCTCTCTGAATATTTTTGAAGATGTTTCGACCTGTTAATTATTAAACTGTCAAACACCGCGAGGACACCGGTGACCGCAACCTATTGTTCTTTAATTGTGTCTATAATGACGGTACTCAAAGGGTTAAGAACGTAAAATGAATTTTACTACATTACGATGCCAACTCTATAAATAACAGTTAATATTCCATCCTATCAAGAAGGAAACCGACAAAAGGATATTGACCTTAAGCCCGTAGAAGGCAAAAGAGGTTAAAAAACGACGATTTTCCGAGGAAATATACAGAAATATATTTTGTTTTTCAGAGAACTGGTGGACTACTCAATGTGTATCACATACTTCAGTGTGTTATGCGTCTACGTGGTGTTCATTGGATCTTCAATGAAAGAAGTAAGTTCAAAGACCTCTTATTTCGTTCATAAAACTCTCTCGTTAATATTATTTTAGATAGTACACTGATAGCCTCTAGATAAATAGATAGATAGATACTGCCTCGTTGGCTAAGTGGTCGCAAGTGGAACTGCCGGGCAAGGGGTCTGGGGTTTGATTCCCGGATCGGGAAAAGTATTACTGGGTTTTTAAAAAAAATCTCAGTAGTAGCACGGAGCCTGGAATCAAGATACTAATGTACGGTATCTTGAATTGTGACCGGTATATGGCAAAAGGCTCGCTCCCTATTACATGGGACTTATAACATTTAAACAGTGAAAAATGGGTGTTACAATGTACAGTGGCATTAAATGTCGTAATGTGCACCTCTGCCTTCCCCTTAGGGGATAAAAGGCGTGATGTTGTGTTATATTATGTAGTTCCATTAATTATATCCAAAATCGAAGAAACAAAAAAATAGCGCCTACAACTTTTATAATAGCTATTCACAACCAGCCGACAACTTGCTAAGTTCAATACTACCTGAAACGAAACGAAGAAAAATCCAATTATATCTTTTATTTCAATACCATAAAATCTAAATTTGAGTAAATAAAATTACTGTAACATGATACTTCAAAGAAACCAATCTGGGATCTGTCGGTGTCACATCGTTTGATTAGATTACTTCATTAAATCGTCAAGTAGAATTTTTTCATCGGAACCAATTTATTTAGTCGTATTTTGAAAGAAATTTCTTTGGTGGTATAATCACGATGTAATTTGAAAGCAATTTATTTATGAATGAAGATAGCTCTGTTTATTTTTAGGCGATATATTAAAGAAGCTAAACTAAAAGTATCCTTAACCGACGAGCATGCTTGAAAATATTAACAACTGTTGAGTGCATGAAAAACGTGTTAAACCCCGGGCCACCACGTCATTAAACTGTCAAATACCAAGCGGTCACCGGTGACCGCGACCTATTGTTCTTTAATTGTGTCTGTAAGTTAATAGTAATAATCCCAATAACAATAAGCAATTATTATTTCCATATATTTATTTTAAATTCTCTATAAAATACATTTTTAAATACTACTTACAAAAACATAAAAATAATATTTAAAAATATAAAAAATAGGAGCCGACCAGTATCGGGAGCATGGTCCAAGCTACCGGTGGTTAGGGCTCCAGAGACAGAAACCTCCTCACGATACGTGCCGTTTCAAGGAGAACTGCCTTCTGTATCAGGCCCTTGACCCAACTACCTAACGCTAGCCTCCTAAGGTGGTTGTCGAGGCTATTAGGGATTAACCCACTGGTCGACACGACTATCGGCACAATGATAGCCGAATCTACATTCCACATGTCGACAACCTCGTGAGCCAAATCAAGATATTTGATTTGTTTATCTTTTTCAGCTTTCACGAGGTTCTCATCATGAGGAATAGTGATATCGATTATCATCGTGCGATTATTATTATTAACAAACGTCAACAGCGCCATTACAAAACAAAAGCTCGACTGTTTTGCGGGATTCCTTTACGATTAAACTCATAATACAAACAGTACCTACTAACCGACTGTTCCATTTACTTTACTAATTTGTTAATTACTTGCCTTACAATTATATCAAAACTTAAACAAGTATCCTTTATTCACACGACAAGCTTTGTTCAACACTCTCTTGTAATCAAGTTTAAACCTTCCACCACTTAACTTAAGGCTTAAAAATCAATAGCACAAGACTCGTGTGTGAGTTAATAAGGAAAATTTAGAGTTATGAAAGTGCTCCAAACCACAAGAAGCCGGTTTAAATGCTCCCAAAAGTAGGAAGAAAGTTTTGTGCAGACATAATTTGAGCTTTAGGAGATGGTGTTTAGGTCTTTATTTGATGGTTGTAGAATACAGAAGGATATTAATATTTAATCTTGAAGTATGTGGTGGCACATATTAAGACTAGACTTTGTTCTTCTAATTAATTGTTAATGTGAGAGTTGTTTTACAGAATTATTGTACTGAATAAAATGATTCTACTACAGTTTTTGCCACATCACCGACTATGATTATACGACTACTATACTATTACGGATTTTATATAGTCACACATGATTGCCCAAAAATGGCAAGGAATATTTTTAGTGTTCTTGTATGAATATGAGTTTCTATTCCACCTTATGTTTAAATGATATTTGACTGTTTTGAGGTATCGTTGTCAGGAAGTGTGGGAGAGCCATGCTTCGGCACGAATGGGCCGGCTCGACCGGAGTGATACCACGGCCTCACAGAAAACCGACGTGAAACAACGCTTGTGTTGTGTATCGTTGTATGAGTGAGGTTAACCAATTACCCCCCAACTTACCCAATCCCTTAAACCCCATAAATCCTCATATTTCTAAGCCCCAAAAGGCCAGTTATGCACTTGTAACTTTGGTGCCTTTGGTGTTCTAACTGTCCATGTGCAGCACCGATTGCTTATCATTAAGTGCTCCGTCTGCTCGTTTACCAGCTCATCCCATAAAAAAATTCATTAGACGATTACTCAATAATTTTTCTATTCGGCTGCCTCGTTGGCCGAGTGGTCGCAGTTGCGACTTGCGGCAAGGGGTCTCGGGTTCGATTCCCGGGTCGAGCAAAGTATTACTGGTTTTTTTTAAATTCTGAGTAGGTAGTAGCACGGAGTCTGGAACTGTGTGAACTAACCCGGTATATGGCAATAGGCTCACCCCCTTTTACATGGGAGTCGTAGCATAAATAGTGAAAAGTAGGTGTTACATTGTACAGTGGTATAGGTAATGTGCACCTCTGCCTACCCCTTCGAGGATAAAAGGCGTGATGTTATGATGTTATGTTATGTTTTCTATGAAGTTTCAAATAGATGAATAGAATTCATCGCTATTTGCAACTTAATGTACTAGGGTAGAGACTCGTATAAATACTAAGTAGTCTTCCTTACTATCTCAAAGCAAATCCATCTATGAAACCATCTAAAATGAAGACTAGAATAGTTATTAGAAATTTTCATAAATTATTTTGAACCCATAAATAAACCTTTTAGTGCAAATAGCGCGTAAATTGGTAGTAAAATAGAAGATATAATTAATCATGTATACAAGCAATAAACAGAAGTGGGAGCATAGAGAAAATATGTCTCTATCCCACTTGCACTCATGACTTTATAGTTTATGACGTCATTATTAATTATAGTGCATTCATTCTCACAAATCTGAATTGAATTTTCGCTCGAAAACATTCTGTAATCGATTCTTGGAATATGCTTTTATATAGCGTTAAAAATTAATTCAGAAAGCTATCTATACAAACTTTAAATAAAGTAAATTAACACTTCGTAAAATTTTAATGCATTCGTGGAAGTGGACTACAAAATATTTACTTTTATAAAGTAATACGCGTTGGCCGGGTGGTCACAAGTGCGACTGCCGGGCAAGGGTTCGATTCCCGGGTCGGGCAAAGTAATACTGAGTTTTAAAAAATTCTCGGTAGTAGCACGGAGTCTGGAATTGTGCCCGGTATATGGCAATAGGCTCACCCCCTATTACATGGGACTAATAACATAAATAGTGAAAAGTGGGTGTTACATACAATGTAACACCCACTTTGCACATTGCGGTGCACATTATGCCACTGTACAACAGTGGCATAATGTGCACCTCTGCCTATCCCTTCGGGGATAAAAGGCGTGATGTTATGTATGTATGTAAAGTAATACATTTATTAAAAGGTAAAAATAAGTTTACAGTAAAATTTTTAGACTATTGCAATAAGATTAGGAAGTAAATAACTTGACGGCACTGTTAGCGCGGTGACTGGGCAACTGGCTGACGTACGTGTCGCGGCTTCGATTCCTAGTGCTCCAGAAATTATTGTTCTGGGTCTGGGTGTCATGTATATGTGAATTTGTATGTTTCTAAACGCACCCACGATACAAGAGAAATTTTTTGTGAGGGACAACGTTTATAATTATTGATTAAAGGAATAAAAAATAAAACCCATGTTTCGGCATGAATAGGCTTGAGTGATACCACGGACTCACAGAAAACCGACATGAAACAACGCTTGCGTTGTGTTTCGTCGTTTGAGTCGTACCGGAGGCCCAATTACCCTTCCCTTCCTCAATCTCCCCAATCCCTGAATCCCCAACTATCCTCAAACTCCTAATCCCCAAATGGCCGGTAACGCACTTGTAACGCCTCTGGTGTTCCAGGTGTCCATGGGCGGCGCCGATTGCTTTCCATCAGGGGATCCGTCTGCTCGTTTACCGGCTTATGCTATAAAAAATGCATGATCTAGACAGAGAATACTTGGTGATAGTTACACCATTTATTATCATGTCTCTAATATTGGAATACTTCTTTCCAGATCCTTGACGTCTACATGCCAGACAACCCGCTCTCGATACAAGCAGCCTGTGCACTCACTCTGGTGCCATTAGTATTAATCTGCCAAATACGAAACTTGAAGTACCTGGTGCCTTTTTCTGCCCTCGCCAACCTCCTGATCTTGGTCGTGTTCGTGATCACCATCTACTACGTCTTCTTGGACCTGCCTTCACCCAAAGAGAGGGAGATGGTCGCTGGTATTACCCAGTGGCCTTTGTTTTTGAGGTAAGTTTATAATTTTATTTATGCTCCATTAGTTAAGTCGACTAGGTACATTATCAAAACATCACGCCATGTAATTCTGGGTGGCACGTGCGATTCGAATAGTGCCTACAAATTTACATCTAGTGTTTCATGTGCATATTTCCATGAACATTTTTTATAAACCAAAAAAGGCTATCTTTACATATATTTTTGTTTTTAATTTAAACATTGAAAGTAAGGTGCTTTAAGGTGCTTCCCTCACCGGGAGCATTCGCGTGTAATGTAACGTTGCAGATCTGGCCATTACATCAGTAAAGGAGAAGAACCGAGCATTACAATGCGCACCTTGTAATGATACAATGTGTAATATCACTTGTAACATCAATGCGCTCCACTTACCCCAGCCCCCGCCCCCCGCCCGCCCGCTTCGTCTGACATCTTGCTATGAAATGCTCAAAGTCGAATCAATATGTTACATTACAAGCAAATGCTCGTTAGTTAGGAAGGTATTATTGTAATGTAATGCTCAAAGTTGAATTTATACGTGAATGTTCGCGGTGAGAGAGCGCCTTTATGGCGTAAGTTGGTTTGCAGCGGGATGAATAACTTCAATCCTTGATTAGTTGATATCCCGCAGCCCGCATCATTGGCTCCAGTGCTTTGACATCAAGGAATTATATAGTTAGATCTGCGCGAACTACCCTTACTCTCCCAAAACTTTCCATTACCATCACAAAACTTTTACCTAACTACTTATTATTACTTTCAAACTCAAACAAGAAGGAGTTTTATGTCGTCGAGCTAAAGTTTATTATTTCTTTTCGAAGATATTATAGGTAACATAATTATGATGATATTTCATTTTCTTCGAAATGCATTTGACAATTGGTGATATTTTTATGAAGTTACATGACTACCGTCGGCAGTGGCGTAGCGTGTCTTGGGGGGGGGGGGGCACCGTATAATAAACTGTTTAGGGTCCCTTAAGGGTAAACATTACTAACAAGAGATTTTTTTTACATAAAATACTTATAATTTATGTGAAAACCAAAAATCTTTTCAGGCAGCTCCGCCCTTATTAGCAGATCTTAATTGCTTTTATTTGTCTTAAATTTCTGCCAACCTTTAAACGCATGCTTTACGTGGACAAAAAACGTTTATTTTGACTTTTGTGATTACTGAAATATGGGTAATAAAAATTGGGAAGTTTTTATTAATTTTTGCTTAATCTCTCACGCGCCTTACGTACACACAGGTAAACGCGCGTTCTCGTACACACGGGTAAATATTTTAATTTTAGAAAAGCGAATTAACTATTCTGTTCAATCAAACAAAGAACGGGTTGCAAACTTGAAAATATACGTCACAGAAAAAATATCCAATCGGGTGTACAATTGCGCGATGGGCACTCAACTCAAATGGGTACACACGGGTGTACGAGAAACACGCGAGAGGTTAAGCACGTTGGGGGCCCCTATAGTCCGGGGGCCCCGTGTAATTGATACGGCAGATACGGCGCTAGCTGCGCCCCTGACCGTGGGTTATTTATTGTAGATTTTGTAAACTTGTAGGTACTTTGTCTTTAGGTAACAACAAAGTACAAATATTTTTTTTAATATAACTTTATAGTTCAAATAGTATATTTATGAACTATGTTATAACAAACTTACGAGAAATAACTAACACAAAATACAAATCATTTCCTCAAAACCACGTCCATCCGTCTATTACGATAAAATTTTATGAAACAGATCTTTAAAACCGTGTACTAAGTCATAAATTACTTTGTAACCTGACATTCCCCTCTTGCCTGGTTATGTTCATCTCTTTGACTAGATAGAAGCTGTAGTATTTTCAAATTCAGTACTTGTAATGGAAATATGTAGCGTATTTTGCACGGGTATTTTGCCTTCAAATGTATTTACGTACATACATACAGAGCAAACCATTTTCTGAGAAAAATGTATATACATCTATACAGATAAATGAAATTGTGATGTCTATTTGGAATATTAAAATAACCGCTTTTTGCTACATGCATCATACGATGCACATACCAAAATAACATCTTTTGTCTGTTTGTACTGGCTAATCTATGGAATGGCTGGGCCGATTTTGTAAAACTTTTATTGGCAGGTAGCTGATGTACTAAGGAGTAACATAGACTACTTTTATTTTGGAGAATTTAAACAAACTACCTCATTGACCGAGTGGTTGCAAGTGCGACTGCCGGGCAAGGGGTCTCGGGTTCGATTCCTGGGTAGGGCAATGTATTTATGGGTTTTTAAAAAAAATCTTAGTAGTAGCCGGAGTCTGTAATTGTGCCCCGTATATGGCAACCCCTATTACATGGGACTCATAACATAAATAGTGAACAGTGGGTGTTACATTGTACAGTGGCATAATGTGCACCGCTGCACCCCTTCAAGGATAAGAGGCGTGATGTTATGTTATGTTGAAACAAAAAATATTTATCGACGAAATCGCGGGCAACAGTTAGTATACAATATAAATAGATTTTATTATGTAAGTACGAGTTGTGTTCCATATTTTTCTTTCTTAAGCATTTACTTTAGCTTTGTACTTGAATATTGCAGTGTTCTAATAATGGATTAATTATTTATTTAAAATAATTAAATTTTAGCAATTAAATAAGTAGCCTATGTTACCCCAGACAATCTACCTCTGTTCTAAATTTTATCCCGATCCCTTTAATCGATTTGAGTAACAGATACACGCAAATTCACATATTTTACATTTATAATTATAATATCGGTTACAGAGTAAAGTCTACTGCAAGCAACTTAACATTCGACAAACGTATATTTGCATTTGGAACAGTAACTGTGTCTAGGGATTGAGTCGTGACATTTAAGTTTGATTTTTCGTGTATATACTTTTTTGGGTATAAAAGTACCCAGTGTTGTGTCCAGGATATTAAAGTATAATCATACCAAGTTTCATCGTAATCCGACCAGTAGTTTTTGCGTAATGCGTGAACATACAGACAGACAGACAAACATTTTTGCAATCACATTTTTGAGCTCTGTGTCTATATTGTACAAGCCCTTACTATTTATTTATACAGCATTTATACTTCTACAGTTTTATTATATGCATAGATTATTCGTTTTATGTTTCAAAACTGTTTGTACCTAAATAAAAGTTTTGTTTTCATCAAACTAAAACAATAGTACACCAGATACAATAAAAACAGATTAAAATTTCTCGAGATAAACTATTAAGCTTCATCACTTTAGTAGCTATTTCAAAAATATTACATTTACATAAATTGAGTTCTTGAATTCATCGTAAATATAAATTAATCTGGCTTTGCTAACCAAAGTGCAACCTGCTGCGTAGATAATTCATTAAAAAATTTAATGAAAATTATTATTATTCTTAACTTAGTATTGTTTCGTTGAAACAATATCATTCTCGACTTTAGCTTTTCAATTCCAAAATTCAAAAGGTACATTTATATGTGAATTCTAATTGAATGCTTTTTCTTGATGAAATTAATTTGATATAAAGTGAATTTTGGTTTTCTTTTACATATTATTTACCCACATAAAGACGAGGCTTAGTGTATCTAAGGGACAAAAGTCCCACGACATACATATATCGGCGAAATGTCGAGCGAAGTCTGCCGATTTCACCCGACATAATTACAGGGTGGAATGTTATAATGCCACCTGTAGGGAAAGTACTCCTAATGCTTTAGATAGACAATTTTACTCAAAGGAAACATTCCTTTATGTTTGAAAAGAAAGAAAACGGCATTCAAAGATTTTTAAAAACACGGTAACAGATCCGACTAAAATTTGTAAATTTGCACCCTGTACTTTTATTGCATCGATCGTTAGCGTCAATAAGGATGAAATTTGTTTAACATACTTAAATTGAATGAAAAAAAAACATTGAATTCTTATCTTTTTTAATTCAATGATTAAACCAATGTATCGGCGCATTAGTTAAAACACTTATAAATATATTATAAACGTTACTCAATTTTAAGTCGTGCTTAAATGACACTAGTCATTGCTGTCATTTTACAAAGAATTTGTAGAGATAGAACTATACTTAAGCACGACTTAAATTTAATAACGTTTAGTATTCCGACATTAAAGTATTAAGAGTTCGCCTTCAGGTGGCATTACAAAATTCCACCCTGTATAAGGCGGCAACGCGCAACTTATGTCCACAGCGCCGTTGATGTTGCCAGACATGTCGACCAAAGTCTGGCAACGTCGCGCTACTTAACCTAACGTCACTGGCGACATGTGTCGCAGGACATATTATGTCCCCTAGTGTATTCTTGGCTTTATTACACAACTTTTAATAAACCGAATATGTGCGCGACGGTGGCGACGCGTAGAGTTTACAACAAGTGCGGAAGCTGTCAAACAATAACAATGTAAACATTTTAATTTTCGATTTTTTTTATCTAATATAATGTTCACTACAAATTTTGTCGTGAGGTTTTGGAGACCATTGTGTACCATCAACACTAAAATGATAAAATAAAGCATGTTAGTGGTCACAGTGGTTCGATTCCCGGGTCGGGCAAAGTATTACTGGGTTTTAAAAAAATTCTCAGTAGTAGCACGGAGTCTGGAACTGTGCCCGGTATATGGCAATAGGCTCACCCCCTATTACATGGGACTCATAACATAAATAGTGAAAAGTGGGTGTTACATTGTACAGTGGTATAATGTGCACCTCTGCCTACCCCTTTGAGGATAAAAGGCGTGATGTTATGTTATGTTATGTTAGTGGTCACTTAAAATATTATAAATACAAACTGTTCCAGTAATATTGTAATTTAAACTGTCAAACACCAAGCGGTCACCGGTGACCGCGACCTATTGTTCTTTGATTGTGTCTATAAAACCGGTACTCGACGAGTTAAGGTTATGTCACGAGTCGTGAATGACACTTACTTCTTTCTTTTCACAGCAGTAATCCATTTTTTCGTTGTTCTATTTTGTAGGACGCTCTTGGGAAAATATAAAATTTACATTTGCTATTGAGGCTTGCTTGCTTTGCTTTGTTTGATTTTGTACTGCAATCAACACATTTGACAGCTGATCATCCGCATTTGTTTCCAATTTCTGCCGTGATGTGCTCTGCGGTCGTTATCTGTCCGCCACTATTGCCTTGCACATAGCCAGTTCTTTTTTGTCTCTTTTTACCTGATGATCTACACTTCATAATTTTTGAGACATTAAACACGTAAGAGACATTATTATATAAAGAGATACGTATAATTACTTATTTATTAATTTTGCAAATATTGTCACAGATGCCCGACATTGTCTGTATAGTATAATATTTTTGTGGGTATGTAAAATTAGTGTGTTGACTGTCGTTGATGTTGTAAATGAATTTTATTTATATAGATACATCTGGGTAAATATTAAGATCTTTGGTATGGTTTGTATCTTAACAACAACAGGATAAAGGAAAAATAAAAAAATTACATAAAGTATATAACGAATAATTTTGAGCTAATATAGGTTAGGATAGGCTTAACTAATGTAGGTAATTTTATGGCAATGTAATTTGCTAGACCGATCGGAAGAATCACACGCTTGATTCGGTGGTTGGGCAAGCGGTTACCGTGTACCACGGAACATCTCTGTAAGTGTGGATGTGATCCACAAATTGTTGTTTTAGGTTTGGGCGTTATTGTGTATCTGAAATTGTACGTTTATAAACACATCAACGACATTCAAGAAAATCCTAGTGTGGGGCAAAGTTTAAAAACAAAGATGGTCTGAGTCTCAGTGTCATGTGTTGTATGGCTGTAGACGCACTCACGACACAGGAGAAAGTCTTTGTGTTTCAAACTGTAACATTAAATAACGGCACTACAATTATAGACCTTTCTCTTGACAGCATAAGGTGCAGTTGAACTCTCAACGTTTCATAGGTGTTTTGACTGAGCACTCGATAAAAAGGCATCACGTGATTCAAAAACTCCTTTGACAGATTGACACTTAACTAATTTTAGTCATTTAGAAGCACACACGTCTGTTTCTATATGTATAAAGATTATGGTCACGTGTAGGTTTAAAATAGAGCCCAATTTACAAACACGTGCTAATAGATGAGTCGTTAGATATATCAAATTTATAATGGCGGTTTACTCTCGTAACTGCTCGAGGAAGCAACTCAACTAGTTTCAAACTATACCAGAGGCGCGTAGTTTTAAGCAACGTTACATGATCTAGTACATTTTTAAGTATACGTATCTGAGTGATACTGATTATTCGTGATCACAGATGCAGTACAACAGTAACGTTGTGACATTTATTTTAAACAAACCATACACAATAGCACTTTAACAAAGACATAATACACTCTAGCTCGATTCACTCAAAGTTTAGTTTCACATGACCGATAAAATTCTACGAATGAACACCAAGAACAACCTTATTCTCTAACTCAGGATAGAAAGCAAAATTGGATTCGCCATGTGCCAGGATCCACTACTTTCGCCTGTTCACTCAAACAAATCCTCATGTTTTATGCAGTATACAGGATAAACTCAGGAAAACATTTCAAGGGCGTATTGCACCGATCACCTGAATCCCAATGTCTTCCTTATCTAGTTTCGAACACAGTGTAATATGCTTAACTTTGTTGCAATATGTTTAAAGATGGCGGATGACAGATTACAGACTAATATCCCTCATCTGTAAGCTCCTCGTGTCTAAGCTACATTGTTAGAAGAAAATTGTAAAACACACAGTTTGTAGGTTTTTAGTTACTTAAAGTGGAATGAGACATTATTTTTTCAGTTACCTACGAGACATTATCTTTGTTAATTGCAACGGCATTTGTAGGTACTAAGGCATCGCTCACAACAATGTTCATTGTCGACACCACACTACGTAATAGCCAATGTTAAATATAATGTAGGTTTATGGAAAAGCGATAATCTACATAACGCGCGCTCACAGTCAGCAGCCGACGACAACACGATCAGTGTGAGTGATGCCTAACTTCGAATTGATAATTTGAAACTAAAAATTAAATCTGGAAACGCGATTCCAGACCTTAAAATTTTTTAAGTTAGCCATTCACCTTATAATGACACCAAAATTAAAATGTCCTCGTAACTAAATAACGTTTTGAATATGTAACTGTAAAATGACGACTGCACGGTTGGTGCGTAGGCTGGGTAACTGGCTGTCGCGCAACATGTCGCGGGTGCGATTCCCGCATGGAACAACTCCTTGTCATGTGATCCGTAGATTATTGTTCCAGGTCTGGGTGCCATGTGTGTGAACTTGTATGTTTATAAACGCACCCACAACACAGGAGAGAATCCTATATTTAAAATAATAAATAAAAATAAAAATCTTCATCTCTTTCCAGCACAGTGATATTCGCAATGGAAGGCATTGGTGTGGTGATGCCAGTTGAGAACGAGATGGCGAAACCTCAACAGTTCCTCGGCTGTCCTGGAGTACTGAACGTGGCTATGGTCATCGTCATCTCATTGTATGGCTTCGTCGGATTCTTCGGCTACCTTCAGTACGGAGACAACGTCAAGGGTTCCATAACCTTGAACCTCCCTGAAGATGACATGTAAGTAGATTTTTGATTATTTTTCTTAAGTGAACCACTACTAGTGCAAAAAAAATATTTTCTTTTTATAACGCTATTTTCAAACAAACATAGGTGCGTATAATTAGCTAGTTTCCTAGGTTTAAAACTAAATTGTTTTTAATGCAATAAATAATTAAAAAATAATCATACTCTCATCCATTGATTTCACAATTTACCTACTTTTGGATTTTATCTCGCTATTTTTAAGGAAATATGTATGCTATTTGACACAGAAATATGATGACGTCACAAGTTGTGATCCAATACAAAATTCTTAGAAAAGTATCGTTTTTAACATTTCAATAAAAGTATTGAATTTGACTATCTGGCAACTAGGTACCGTATTATGGTAGAATACTGTACTGGTCACTTTGTTACTTATATATTACTAGCTTTTACCCGCGGCTTCGCTCGCTTCACAAAAGGATAAAAAGTAGCCTATGTGACATATACCAATGCACACAGCGCGATCTATACCAATAATTTGGTTTTCCCTCGAGAATATCAAATTTTTCCGGGATAAAAAAGTACCCTATTATTTAATCCAGACTTTTAACTTTACGTCTGCAAAAATTCAAAGCAATCGATTGAGTAGTTACGGCATGAAGGTGGAACAAACAAACAAACAAACTCACTTTCCGATTTATAATATTAGTAAGGATTGTTAAGGATATAATATTGGTCGCGTATAAGATCTCTATAAAAGACAGAAATTGATCGAGTGGCTTAGGCAGTAACCAAGGAACAACAAGTTAGTGAACTAATTAAAAGTAAACTTACTTTTTCTATTAATCAATCAGTTTCCATACTGAAACTCTAATATACCTATAAGAAAAAAACATTATCACCGAGAAAAAAATATAACAGATTCCGTCAAAAAACTCCCAAAAATGTGTGAACTTTTTTGGAAATATATTCAACCCGAAACCTTACTGATTACTTCTGAAATTGAGCCGCTGCCTAACTTAATAATACACTTATTATTAAGTTGGCAAATTTTTTCTTCCCTATAATCCAGATTTGTAATCAGGGAATTGTAACAGGATCCCTTATTGAGTGCGACTTATAACTAAGTGTGGGTGTATTGTGTTCCTTATTCTATTATCGTCGCTATTATTGGGGCTTTCTTATACATGTCGCCTTTTCTAATCGGTCTATTTTTAGAACTCTTATTTTTACTTCTTTACTAAAGTGGTTGTTCGATTGATTGTTAAGTATAATATATTCTGGCTTCGAAATGGCATGGCTTTCAGATTACTTTTAAAATTGTGCTTAACATTTACTAATGAGTTTAAGACCTTGTAAACTGGAATTTCTTGCTCGTTCTTCTCCATTCGAACCTACATTTTGGAATGAGCACCTAGTTTCACTGACGGACTGACTGACAGACTATTATTTATTTTGTAATTGTTGATGTTTCAAAAGTACCAAACTATGGTTTAATTGACATAAATGCTTTGACTTTGACTGAGTAATATGTAGTATATCAAACTGTTACACCACTTGTGTGTTAAACATTTTATTACTAATTGAAAAAGGCAACTATATCTTTAAACCTCCTTTTAAAAGATACCACGCAGAACAAAAGTACAAAATCTTCCACACAAAATAGGGTTGTCAACATTTGTTTCCATTCTATGTTTACATTGGGGTCAAGTGTCGAGTTCCAAATATTTAGAGACCCCCAAAGTGCCTTTTCAATACAGCTGCGATAGCTTTACACGACGTTCTATAAATAAAACAATTTGCTTTTACTGTTTTTCAACGGTATGGGATTTTGTTTAATGTATGTGCTAGAAAAACACTTATAAAATAATTTATTTAGTGCAGTATTTATAGTGGCAAGTTAATTGGTTGGAGTAAATGGACTTTTTTTGAGGGGGAAAACGGTCCAATGACTTCTACCTCCCGGGTGAGGCGAAAGGGAGTGACAGGACTCTTACTGACTAAAAACCACCCCGTCCCTACTCCTGCACTTCCAGCCGGAGCCCCGGCAACCCGTTAAGTATTCCGCAGCTCCGTATTATCAACCCTATTGGGGTCCATCTGTGGTGGTCTGATGGCTCCTTGAGACGTGCGCGGAACGCAACGCGCCGTACGCTCGTCCATGGTCCTAGCCGGGCGGCGTGTCACCCGTGCTTGCCGTCCGCAGGCCCGTGCTTACGGTGGCCGGAGATCGTCTCGTGATCCCCGACGCCATATATTGCTAATGTACAAATACATATATGTATTTTAGATGCAAACATTGATTGAAGTTAATTTGGAAGTACATATTAAGAAATAATAGAATGTAAGTACCGTACTTCGTTAATTCCAATTAGTGATAGTTTATACCAACAAAAACCGAAAATTTCATGATCAACATTTGGGCTGGCAACCATTAAGTAACAAGACAAGCAATTTTAAAACTAATAATAATAATTTCCATTTAAAACTTAAAATGATAAGTGCAAATTGTTCATTTATTAAAAGACAATATTCAGAATACCATTTAATTAATAAATAGTCATTCAAAAATGTCAAAGTCAAGTAAATGAAGGATTTAATTGAATAATGTTTAAATTTAACTTTGGTTAGTTTTGTTTTATAGTAGTATATTTAAAACAGTTTATTAATTCGAAATGATGTTTGATAAGCAGCAGATTTTCTGCTTATTGCATTTAGAAAGAAAGAAAGTGCTTTATTTCACGCTAAAAAACAAGTGACATGTACAGATGTGTTATTCTATTAGTACCTAGGTTCTGATAAAACCCACTTTTCACCATTTATGTTATGAGTCCCATGTTATGTACGCTCGGGTCTGGTTCTGGTCGGACGGTGAGCCACCCATGCTCGCCGTCCGCAGGGCCGCGTTTACGGTGGTCGGAGATCGTCCCGCAATCCCCGACGCCCGGAGTGTCCTTCGCGACGGCTAGGTTAGTGTGAGGTGTGAGGAGGCAACGCTCCGCTGCCTCATGCGCTCCGCCTCCTCCTTAGCTAGGAGGTGAGCCCATTGCCATATACCGGGCACAAATCCAGACTCCGTGCTACTACTGAGAATTTTTTTTTAAACTCATTAATACTTTGCCCGACCCGGGAATCGAACCCAAGACCCCTTCTGACCACTCGACCAACGAGGCAGTTAGATTTACAATAATTGCTAGTATTAATTATACGGACGAATATATTAATTTACATAAAAGAAATCCAGTTTTACCTAATTACCGACTTTGTTTCCACTGAATATTTTCTTCAAACGAAAAATGTCCTTGACTGAGGGAATACGGCACGTCTTGTTCAACAAAAGCACTTAAAAACTCAAAGAAAGCTAACACAAATCAAAAGAGAACCACTTTAGCTCATTTCAAACATCAATAGTAAATTTTTTCATTGTTCGAGGAACAAAAATAAATGGAACTATTTTTTTTGTTTTTCCTACCTGTTATAATACATACCTTTTTAACCTCTAAGGGGTAACGAGAAGTTGCAGAGAACCTAACGGGTAACCGGGGCTCCGGCTCGACGTGCAGGAGAAGGAACGGGGTGGTTTTTATGATTTTCCCCCTTAAAAAAAGGGGGTAACGAGAAACCATCGTAAGCACTGCGGCGGCCTGGTTTGGTTAAGCCTGTTGGAGATTTATGAATTCCGTGCAATAAGAGGATAGCCGAACTCGATGTCATTACTTTAAAAAATTGAAAAATTTGAAAACCGATTGAAGCCTAAACGCGAGGCCTTTGTACAACAGTGTACGTCTTTCAGTTGATTAAGATTATAAATCTTATACTTTTGTTATACCTGTATAAAGCTAAAGATTTTGTTTGTTTAAGTCGCGCTAATCTCAGTATTCGAATTGAAATTCATTTTAAAAAAATTGTCAGTAGTCGCTCGGAGTCTGGAATTGTGTCCGGTATATGGCAATAGGCTGACCCCCTATTACATGGGACTCATAAATAATGAAAAGTGGGTGTTACATTGTACAGCGGCATAATGTATACCTCTACCTATACCTTCGGGAATAAAAGGCTTGATGTTATGTTATATTATGTTTGTGTTGAATAGTTCATTTATCGAGGAAGGCTAGACGGAGAAGGACTAAAAAACATCACGCTACGATAAATAGGAGCAGAGCAGAACCGATGAAATCGCGTAGGTGTCCCTAGTCTTAATATAACACCGACTGCAACTTTTATTCTTGGGAATTGGACGTGTAACTCTATAGAAGTCCAACTATAAATAAAGAATAAATAAAACCTCTTTTATGTAATTATACGGAAATTCTTGAGGAAGTAAGAAACTTCGTTATTACTTCGAGAGAATAGAGCAACGTGATTGAGAAGTTGAGTAGTGTATATTTTCCTACTTCAGTATTCTTCTGTTTGTTTTGTTAGAAGAAGGTTTTTATTTTTTACTAGCTCTGCCCGCGACTTCGTCCGCGTAATCCCGTTTTCTCCCGTTCTCGTGGGATTCTTAGGATTTTTTCTGTATTAAGAACCTTCTGTTAATAATAACAAATACAACAAAAAGATAATTAGTGAAATCGGTCCAGGCATTCACGCGTGATGCTGTGACAAAGGAAAAAGGTTTCATTTAGCAAATTGTAAATTGTAAATTGTAAATTGTAAATTGTAAATTGTAAATTGTAAATTGTAAATATTAATAGGATTGTTTTGTCGTTTAAATTAAATTAAAACTTCGTTGAAAAGTTTGTGATGTACCTATATCATGACCGTGTTTTCAAGAATTACTGCATAATTGATTTCTTATCTAAATTTTAAATGAGTTGTGCACAAAAATACAATAAATTAAAATTTCAATTACTTTTAGAATAAATAAAGAAAAAGTGTAAAATTTACTTACAATTTTATACTAACGCAAAATGCTACAAAATTTCTACAAAACAAAAACTATTCAACATGCAAGTTTGGGTGAGCCATGCTTTCGGCACGAATTACTCAACCGGAGTGATACCACGGCCTCAGAGAAAACCGACGTGAAACAACGCTTACGCTGTGTTTCGTCGTGTAAATGAGGATACAGGAGGCCCCCAATTTCTGACCGTCCAATAATATCACGTTGCAAATGAACACTCTTCGTAATTATTACCGAAATATTTACTAAAGTATTCTTATATATGTAGTTAAATCTCCAAAAAAACGATTTACATCCTAATAAATACATACCTAATAAATTATTAAATATAACGCGTTTGCAGTACATATTAGAAATATAAAGGAACTTTCCGTTATCCCGTGTTTTTCTTTTATTGTTTCAGCAAAAGATAATAAGTAATAATAGCCTACCATTTTCCTCTTCATATCGAAATTATTTTTATAAATATACCAATGTTAGGGTCATTGGTGATCAGTATGCTTTCGTTTCTTGTCTATAATACCCTTATAATATATACATTTATACAGAGTCATGGTGGCCCGGACGTTTAGACTTCTCATATATAGGTACGGGCACGGTACGGTTTCCGAGTCATATGCATGTACTTTCTAAGATTATTTAGACACCACTGACAAATGGTGAAGGAAAATATCGTGAGGAAACCTTATAATTTCTAATTATATTATCGCCAATTCACATTGAACAAACATGGTAATTAATTATTAAAAAATATACATGCGAGAAGAGGCATTTTGTTAGCAGGGGCCACTTATAGGCTGTTGATGTGTGATGTGTGTGGTACACCGAGTGAATGATAGTATTCTCTGGTAGTATTTTAGAGAATCATTTTCATTTCTCCAATGTTCTACGTGTAACTTTTTTAAGGGATAAGCCGGTAAACGAGCAGGCGGATCACCTGATGGTAAGCAATCGGCGCCGCCCATAGATATCTGAAACACCAGAGGCGTTACCTGCCTTTTGAGAATTGGAAATTTGAGGATTGTGGGGAATTCGGGGATTGCGAGCGTTGTTTCACGTCGGTTTTCTGTGAGGCCTTGGCATCGTTCCTGTCGAGCCGGCCCATTCGTGCCGAAGCATGGCTGTCCCACACTTAAATAATCGGTGATCGGTAAAAAATATTTGATTTCGGTGAAAATTTAAGCCAAAGTTAATAACATTATAGGGTCGTAATTTCGCCTCGATATATGAGTTTTCTCACTGAGCAAGATTATTTTTTCGAACCAGTTATAAAACTGGAATTGTGGAAGATTTTCACAGTAACCTTTTTGGTTCGGAAAATACGTCCAGTCGTTTAACGAACCACAATTGTGAAAGGCTTCGTGTTCGTGAAAGGATTATTTTTTTCGATCCAGTTATAAAACTGGAGGAAGTCATTTTCGAACCTCGAAAAGTGTGAAAAGCTTCGTACAAAGACTACCTTGTTTCAGTGTTTGGCAGTATTTCATTGGATTATGGAATTATTCACTGCCAAAAACGGGTGTTCGGTAAACTCACACCTGTTTTTCAGTATTAACAGGCATTGCTTAATGTGCGTTGGGTTTTTACACTTCAAGCATTCGGCCTTTAAATTATAGAAATGAGATGTTATAAAATTTAATCTCTTTGAAAAAATCTGAAAAGACCTAGCCAGTATTGACTATTACATTTCGTATTCTTTGCAAAAGCCAAAAAAAGTTAAAATCATTTATTTCAATTAGACCAGAAAGACACTTTTGAACGTCAAAACAAAATATTTAAATATTAAATTATAAGACAAAATGTCAGTCTGTAGGTCAGTCCTCTAGTGTTATTTGCTCGTGTGCCTCCTATTCTACAAAAATAAAAAAAATAACTTGTTCCAAAGTGTAGATTCCTATGGAGAAGAAATTGATATTGGTATCTGTCAGACACTTTACCAAACAACTGTAGGTTTTTCACAGTGAAATGCTATACGACATGATGCTATGGAAGTAACTGAAGTACGTTAGTCTTGCCGTGTCTATGTCGGTTAACGATCGGATCTTCCAGACAGCATATGCTGCAGAGCTTAATTGTCCCGCTAAAGATGTAATGTGAGGACCACAGAACAGCCTTCTTTATATGTTCTATGGTGAGGACCCCATTGCAATTTGTCGTCTACAGTAATTCCCAGAATTCTTTACCGAAATCAGGCTACCACCATGTATCATGGTTTGACGGCTATAATAGTCATCCACACAATAGTTTTCAAGATTAAAAGATTTTACTTGATAGTCCTTCAGCCAATGTTCAGTTACACAAATAAGATCATATATTTTTTTTTAATAATTCAACATCTAGGAGTTTAAATAAAAAGCCCTGCATATTTTGACTAATCAATGTTAACACGGAGTTTTGTCTATTCTCATGTACATCATTAGCTGTAGACTTAAACATACCGCCAGAAGATAACTTATAAATGTATACAATTTTTGTGTAATTTACTAAGCTATCTTCTGTTGTCTCAGTCTCATTGCTTATATAATAATTAGTAGGTATATATATATATATACCCTACCTCACGGTAGCGATGAGGAAAATGTTTTCTTTGATGCCTCATGATTAATTTTTATGATTATTTTTTTAAGGTGTAAATTTTTTAGTTTTAAATTATTTTTTATATTTTAAGTTATATATATATCAATAGTCGCAAAGTAGTATTAAGTATATGTTAGTTTATGTACTTAAAACTATGAAATATATTATATACAAACAATAAAAAAGTAGATATATATACGAAATTCACAGAGAACATATAGTATGTAAAAGTTATATAAATAGTGCTCACTGTACAAAATATCAAACTATGTGGCAACTGCATTGTAGCTTCCTTGTGAAAATCCTCGCGGGTATTAAACGGTACACGAACTCATTTTCACTTTTGGCTTGCCGCCAAAACCTGACGAGAATAAGATATTATTCTCATCACTTACAGAATGAAATTAAAATGAGGATAACTAGAATAGAAATTAATTTTTGAAACCTAGATAGAAGATACTTAAAGCTTAATAATTTTTATTATTTTTGGTCTTGATCTGAATTGAAATAGTTGCAAAATTGAATTTAAAAGTGTCATTGCAGTTTATTTTTCATCTTGTATAACACCTAACAGTCATTAAGTATCATCTAAAAACAAAGTTAGGTACTTATATATCATTGAACAAAAATTGGATAAATAACCTAGACATCGACTGCAGCGCCACCTGCCGGGTTGATTTGTGAATCTAAACTATCCAGGGCGTCACTCAAATGCGTACCGAAAAATTCATTTAAATCGGTCAAGCCGTTTAGGAGAAATTCACTGACATACACACGTACAGCAGAATTATATACAGGCTCATCCCCTATTACATGGGATTCATAGCATAAATAGTGAAAAATGCACTTCTGCCTACCCTTTCGGAGATAAAAGGCGTGATGTTATGTTATATACAAGCGCAATTATATATGATTTAATTATGTAGTAGTACGGTACAAGATTTTGATTAAATAAGGGTAAACATCGACTGTATTGTCTGTCTGAGATGTCTTTGGAAAACACAGCACTAATAAACCAATTAATTTGTTAATTATTTCTAACAACAATTTACCTTTGTTTCTCTTTGCAGCACCGCTCAAGTAGCAAAAGGACTGATGGCGTTCGTCATCTTCCTGTCCTTCGCCCTGCAATTTTATGTCCCCATGGAAATGATTACCAGGAAGAGGAAAGGGAACGAGTCGAAGTATGAAAACCTGGTCCAGGTCGTCATCAGAACTGTGATGGTTACGGTTGCAGGTGAGCTGATAAACTTTACATTATATAGATCGACTTTACTGGGTGTCGTGGTGGCCCGGAGGTTGAAGACGCCTGCTTCTCATGCACGAGGGTGGAGGTCCGAAACTTACCAACGGCTAGTACCAATGTGACTTTTTCCGAGTTATATGTACTTTCTAAGATTATTTAGATACCACTGACCAACGGTGAAGGAAAACATCGTGAGGAAACCTGGGCTTATAATTTCTAATTATAAGTTTGTAATCACCAACCCGCATTGAGCAATCGTAGTGATTAATGCTCTAACCTTATCCATGTGAGAAGACGCTTTGCTCAGTAGTGGGCATTTATAAGCTGATGATGAAATCGACTTTTATTTCTCCAAAATGTAGAAAATACTTGTGTCCTATTTTTCTTACAATATACCACTTTTAATGGGAGTTCTAACGATGAGGACGAGGTCACCTATTACAGGCCTTAATGTTACTGGATGTTTGTACTTCGTTTAAAACTTTACATTAAAAACCCTACAGTTTTCTTAGATACTAATAATATTAAATAATATCTATATTGGATGCTAATCAAGTAACAAAGCATAACATCACATCTTTTATCCCCGAAAGGACAGGCAGAGGTGCACACAGAAGTAACACCCACTTTTCGCTATTTATGTTATGAGGCCCATGTAATATGCGATGAGCCTATTGCCATATACCGGGCACAATTCCAGACTCCGTGCTACTACTGAGATTTTTTAAGAACCCAGTAATACTTTGCCCGACCCGGGAATCGAACCCGAGACCCCTTGCCCGGCACTCGCACGTAAAGTATATAAAACGAGTAAAATATAATCCCCATAATATACTATTTGTTAGCAAAACTGAACTGGTCTTGACATTACGACAGTTAAAAATGATCAGTTAATATGTGAATTAAATACAATACTCTTTACTATGTGTAATTAAAATACAATATAACTACAAATACAGATAAATCCCCTTGATCCGATCAGCAAAAGATATTGTATCATCGCAAAATGTCTATAATGTGACCGACTTTTTCCCTTACCAAATAAAGCTCTTTTTAATCACCCAATTTGTAGGCCAATTAGTCGTCCAGCGGTTATCTCGTGGATGTGTCGCAATTATTCGGTTTCAGACCCAAATTTTGAAATTGATGTCTATATTGCTTTTTTAGTCCCTTCAGTGTTGTTTGTTTTAATGGGTTTTTCCGAAAGGGAGTGTTTTGTAATCCTTACTAATATTATAAATCGGAAAGCGAGTTTGTTTGTTTGTTTGTTTGTTCCGACTTCACGCCGTAACTACTAAACCGATTGCTTTGAATTTTTGCAGACGTAAAGTTAGTAGTCTGGATTAAATAATAAGGTACTTTTGATCCCGAAAAAATGTGATATTTCCGAGGGAAAACAAAAGTATTGGTATAGATGGCGCTGTATGTATTGGTGTATGTCACATAGGCTACTTTTTATACTTTTGTGACGCGATCGAAGCCGAGGGTAAAAGCTAGTACTTTAATAAAATTCAAGGTCACGAGAGATGTTCTATACAGGGTGGAATTTTGTAATGCTACCTGAAGGAGAAGTACTCTTAATACTTAAGATAGAAAATTTTATCCAAAGAAAACATTTCTTTATATTTGAAAAGAATCAAAACTACATTCATAGATTTTTAAAAATTAGCTTGTCTTACACGGTAGTCGAGCCGACTAAAATCTGTCAAAGTTTACACCCTGTACTTTTATTGCATTGATCATTCATTGTTTTTCTTTCATAATATTTATGAAGTTTGTTGGAGAGATTTCATCCTTATTGACCCTTACAATCGATGCAATAAATATACAGGCTGCAACTTTTACAGACTTTAATCGGTTCGATTACCGTTAGCGGCAAGCTAATTTTAAAAATCTTTAAATGCAGATTTCTTTGTTTTCAAAAATAAAAGAATGTTTTCTTTAAGTAAAATTTTCTATCTTAAGTATTAACGTCCAATTTCAATAACCTATCTATCTGTAGATTTGCTTAGGTACTAGAGATAGATTTTTGACACGTTTTGTATGAAGCTCATGTCAAAATTCTATCTCTAGTAAGCAAATCTACAGATAGATAGGTTATTGCCTTCAGGTGGCATTACAAAATTCCGTCCTGTATAATCATACGTAAATATAAATGTAAATTGAATTCTATGTTGTAAACAAGAAGATTTAAACTGAAAACTATCACATTATAAATCTCAGTCATTAGTATAATGAACGTTAGTATTTGTAACAATATCATTATTATTTCTTCGACTGACCCAATTTATTTCAAGGTCATTCTGTGTAGGATTAGTTTCACTGTCTCTAGTTTTACGAAGAACTGTGACATTCCCTTTAGTAGGTACCTATTAGACGCAATACGCCATTCTTGATTAGACCCGCTGTTAAATATTAAATCACACTGATATTATAAATGTAAAAGTTTCGTTGTTTGAATGTTTGTACGTCAATTACGCTGAAACTACTGAACGGATTTTGATGAAATTTTGTATACAGGCAGGGTATGGGCTGATTTAAGTGATAGTATTACTTATTGTACTTACTTTTTATCCCGATTTAATAAATAAACATTATTAGTAAACAGCACAAACATAAAAAACAATGTTAGTAGTAACACAAGAGTACAAAAATAAAATAAAACAAAATAATACACAAACAAATACAAATACAGAAGAGATTAGAAGCTTTATCAAGCCCCACGTCTGACATGCAGCTTGATAAATCCATCTATTGTAGGCCCTTCTACCCTTTCTGCAAACACCCTCAGAACGCCGTTGCTGCTTCCCCTCAGTCTGCGCAACACTGATGCCACTTTTTTGCGCATGATCGCGAAATAATCGGCAGTGTGCACATCCGCGAACATACCTGGCGCACTAATTAAATTTAATGCTCTCGTGGGATAAATAAGGAATGATATCCTATGCAGACATAATCGTGGGCAAAAGCTAGTTATAGATAATTACTTTGTAGACCTTAATAGGTGCTTGAAGTAAAATTTAGGGTAGCAACAAGCTACATTAAGTGATTGACATAAATACCTTTTACAATGAAATCAAAAGTGGTTGTTAGAACATAATTGAATTAAATAATTTTACTGTCTTGATAATACAGAATATCTCGACGACGAATTTATTTGGAAAGTAATTTAAATAAAACCTAAATACATAAATTAAACCAGAGGTCTTTTTAACTAAATAGAGATACAAATATGTAAAAGATAACGAGTTTTTAATGTAACTCTTTTATTTTCATAAAGTTAATTACAAATTAGTTTTTCTGTAATACTTAGCTCGAAACAAATCTAGATGCCAGATGAGAGATTAGGTTTTAAAAATAAATAAATATTATAAATCTACTTACATTTACCATCGGCTTTGCCCGCGTAATTTAACCTACATATATGTATACTGTATATGCGCAAGGATTTAAAAAGATTGGAAGAGTGGACACATTTTATGGAGATAACAAATAAACACTCACTTTTCCATCTTACACCTTTTTATTATACAATTAGCTTCTGCCCGCGACTTCGTACGCGCAATCCTGTTTTCTCCCATTCCCGTAAGCTTTTCAAGATTTTTTCTGTCTTAAAAACTTTTTATTAGTAATTACAAATACAACAAAAAAAGAATTAGTGAAATCGGTCCAACCATTCACGCGTGATGCCGTGACCAAGGGGAAAAGGGATTCATTTTTATACAGAGAGAGCGCGCGGCAACTAGCGATCGGGAGAGAGGGAGAAAGAGAGAAAGAGAGAGAGGGAGAAAGAGAGAGAGAGAGGATTTGATAACATGGGGCCGGTGACAGCGCGCCATTGTTCGGGCCGCAAGCGCAGCCTCGCGTACGGATTACACAAAAACGTTTAACCAACTCCTTTATTTATGTTAAAATAAAAGTCGTTTAATTTTTATTTTTTTGATATACGTTTCTATTTACTTACTCCCATCAACCTCATAAAATATTTACAGGTTATTTTTTAACACCCTATACATATATAGACAGCTAAAGAGTTTGTTTGAACGCGTAAATCTCTCGAACTACTGATCCAAATATTGAATAATTCTTTTTGTCTTGGATAGTCCATTTATCGAAGAAAATTACTAGATAAAACATCACGCTACGATTATTAGGAGCCGAGCAAAGGGAGTGACACCGCGTGGGAGTAACTAGTTTATTATATTAGTTGAGGTTGTAGCTATTCTAAATTAAGATGTTATGTCTGTGATGCTTATAAATAAAATTGTATCTTATGGATTAAATTCTATATTCTTGGTCTTATAAACCACTCAGCTTAAGATTAAATATTAAGATTGCCTTTTATTACTTAAAGAGGTCCCAAAATGATCCGTGATATTATTCAGCGAACTGTTTTTACTACAATACGTTTTTAATCTTCGATATTAATAAAAATTGTGTGCAGAATTATTATTATTATTTTTCGAAATGATTGTACTGCAAAATTAATGTTTTATAAAGATTAGACTCTTGCATTAAGTATTTTGAAGCAAAAGTCATATCACCTTAGACATAAGGTTAAATATAGGATACCATAAACTTCTTTGCTATGTAATAAACGTCTTTTTATGGAATTGCCGGTAAACGAGTAGACGGATCACCTGGTGGTATCATGGCAGTCGAAACATCAAAGGTATTGCAAGTGCTTTACCGGCCTTTTGGTGATTAGGAATTGATTGAGGATTATTTGGGATTTGGGGATTGGGGAGATTGGGCCTCCGGTAATCTCACTCATACGACGAAACACAACGCAAGCGTTGTTTCACGTCCATTAATTAAAGTTCTGTATAAAGCCAAAAAATATAAATTAAAAAGTATTGTACTCAATTATTTGACTCATCTAACTTGCTTGAGATGTACGCGGGTCAGCAGGTCGACCTATCCTTTTTTTGCAAATTTCTATATTACATCTTCAACTTTATTGTATTGACACAAAGGCGAATATCTAATGAATAAACACAGAATGAAGTAGGGTTGACTAGCTGGCCATTGTACCATACAGGTTGTACTGTTCTTTGTTATTTTTTTTTAAAGTATATTTAATCATTTATATAATTTTTAAATTTTTTCTTTCTTCGTCCACAGTTGCCATCGCCGCAGCATTCCCCAACTTAGAACTGGTCATCAGCTTTGTCGGAGCAGTTTTCTTCTCAACCCTCGGTCTTCTGATCCCAGCAGTAGTGGACACAGTCTACCGATGGGAGAATCGTCTGGGTCGCTTCAATTACATTCTCTGGAAAAACACACTCATTGGAATAGTTTCCATTATAGCTCTGTTCTCTGGAGCTTATGTATCTATTCAAGGCATGATCGAAGATTTTGGTGGGCACAGTCATGAGAATCATGAATTGTTTGAAAATGCTACTTTGACGTGATTCTGGATTAGTTGGAATAGATGGTTGGTATGTGGAATGTATGTTGTCATACATTTTTGCCTGATTATGTACCTATGTTGATGGAAGTACAATAGATCGTGGATTCCATACGTATCTACATATTTATTTCGTGTAGTGCCTTAGATAAATAAAAGTAGATGGTTGTGATTTTGTTAAAGTCAAGTTACCATATGTATTTAATTAGTAAATAAAGTACTTAGTAAATGATTTTAAGTAAAATACAAATTTGACTAATGTATTGCTATAAAATTTCAATTTCAAAGAGATTGGAGATCATAAACTTAGCCTTTGGAACCTCAAATTGGCTTGAGATTAAAATTAATGTACATTAGGTATATCTAGATTCTGAAATTCTAGCAATGAATTCATTTTAAATAGCTAAGGTGGCTAATTGCTAGTCACCTAATTACTTTGAAGATAGTCGTAACTAGGTTTAGTTTATTATGAGTCTTAAAGAACGTAAGTAAAAAGGTATATATTTTTGACAATTAAGACTCGTACACAAAACTGCGATGCGACGTCGCATCGCAAAAATGTGCGAGCTCCCTCTACGCATCGCAAGAACTTGCGAATTGATCCCATCGCGCATTAAAATCTTATCCACCCAAAATTTTCTTTGTTTCTTTTTCCTGTATCTCCTTAGCAATGACAGAAGTGCACACTGCCTTTTACGATCCATATCACGACCTAGTTTTCAATTTAAAATACATTTAGTACGGTTGACGTTCGTCGAATGAGTGGTCACCCTGGGAGACGCGTTGTCGCACGAAATCGCATCGCAGCAATTGGCGTCGTAATTTTCAGCGTTGCGAATTCGCATCGCATCTCAGTTATATGTACGAGCCCTTACACGGCTTGCAAAGTGGAAATTTATCGAAATTGCGGTTTTTTGTGAGTACATGAGTCTTTTTTGTAATTTATTTAAATTAATCTAGTGTAAATTTTGTATTTAAAGTACAAAAAGTAATTACCTAATAAGATATGTGTTTTTATTAATTTAAGTGATAATACTGGATGTTTTGAATTATTTGATAACTCGATGTTGATTTAAATATTTAAAGAAATTGTTTCTATGTAGTTACGACTTTATACTCGTGGTTGTATACCTAATTGAAATATGTTTAACATAGTCATACATGAAAATTAATGTTATAGCAAAAAGAAAGCCGTAATTGAAAACAGTGCAAGTCATATTTTAAGCAATTAATTTTACTCATTGATTACCTTTTTAATTTTTAGATTATCTTATGTATTTTTTATCAGTATAAGTTGACATGTTGTAGTACGTATAAAACTGTGTAAGAGAGATCAAGTTATAATGGATACGTGACTTATAATAAATGTGCCGTCAACTAAGCAATATTAATATTATATAGAGATTCTTAATCCACTATTAATTATAAGTACAATGTATTATTAATTTCGAATGGTTTATTCAGGTGAATTCATGAGAAAAGCTCTACCAGTTTCGAGTTACATAGGGAGTCTTATTAATGAGCAGAGTATGCGAACGCAGCGACGTCGCACAACCTACTGTTAGTAGTTTAGTATGTCTCACGATAGTTGTTTTTATAATAACTATCGTGAGTCATACTGTATACATACGGCACTTAATGTCACTATACAATGTAACACCAACTTTTCACTATTTAAGTTATGAGTCCCATTTATTAGGAGGTGAGCCTATTGCCATATACTGGGCGCAATTCTAGACTCCGTGCTACTACTGAGATTTTTTTAAGCCCAGTAATACTTTGCCCGACCCGGGAATCAAACTGGAGACCCCTTGCCCGGCAATCGGACTTGCGACGACTCGGCCAACGAGGCAGTCATCAGCAATAACCATCAGTAGCTGTAGCCAAATGCCATTTAGCACGTGTTTACATGTTGAATAGAAAACCCAATTATATGGAATTGACAATTCCATATAAAATAGATGTAAGTTCTTATAAATATATATAAATAAAAATAAATATATCTCAGTTATAGTAAAGTTATTCTTAATTTGTACTTACTACGTACTTACTATATTATGTAACACAATCGTCACAACTATTTCATAATGTGTATATAGTATATTAAATTATTATTAATATAATTAATAATGTAAACAGTGTTACTGTAAAAATAATAAATAGCTTTTACTAGTAATATATGTTTTTTATTATTATTGTGTAAGTACCTATATTAAAGGTTCAATAATCGCGACACGTATATACAAAAAAAAATATATATATACAGACGAATTGAGAACCTATACTTTTTTGGGAAGTAAGTATGTAAAAAATAGATTTGCTCCATATTAGAGTTATATGTATGTTCTCTTACCTAAGTATAATATTAGCAATAAAAATATATTTGATATGGAAGTAAACCTTGACATCTAATACGGTTTAATATTTATATATATAATTCTGCTGTACGTGTGTATGTCATTGAATTCCTCCTAAACGGCTTGACACCACTTGCAACGGTGCAACACCCACTTTTGACACACTGGGTGAGCCTATCGCCATATACCAGGCACAATTCCAGACTCCGTGCTACTATTGAGAATTTTATCCGACCCGGGAATCGAAATCTTTACCGGCAATCGCACTTGCGACCACTCGGCCAACGAGGCAGTCTCATAAGTCATATTTCTCATCAGAAATTCATTGCCTAGTGATACCTTTACAGGACCTTATGCTGAATGACTGTTTATTTTTATAACTGAAGACTAAAATATTTCTTCTTATCATAGTATCTAATCGTTCAATTATTCATTAATACCACCTGGTGATCTATTTAGTCTGCCCACGCTAAGGTTAGCGTGGAATATCTCGGTATAAAATATCGAACAAAGAATAGGATTAATTATAACTTCCTACACAATTTGTAAACTCCTTATAGAAAGACTAAAATCTTTCTATGAAATTTCCTCTTAGGTAGAACATTCATATAACAGGGTCAAGTCATAGCTAGACGAAATTTTTACTAAATTAACTAAGAATCGCGGGTTACTCACATGAATATACTGAGAAAAGCTCTACTAGTTTCGAACCACAGAAGGGTTCTTCCTCATGTGCAGCGTGCGCGGTCGCGACGATGTCGCGCAGCCTACTGGCCAGCGTTGGCGCTCGCCTCGGTGTTGCTACTTGCGCATCTAGCCCAACGCGACCTCTGCCGGACACCACGAGCGTTTGCTTCTAACTCCGGTGGAGCGCGGCTGCGTGCCGGACGATGTTGACGAGCACGGTACGTTCACCAGCGCAGCGGCGCGGGAAGTGGGTTTGATTGCGGGTTCGGCAAAAAGTCAGTGCTACATATAACGCTTACTGTGTCACACTTCAGACTAGAGATGCGGCGGGTCGACGTATACTCAAAGCTCAGCTTCCACGAGGGTGGCAGTACCCAGCCACCATCTCTGTTGAAGCACGAACATTTTTACTTTTAAGCACGCTATTCGACCAGTTCCAAGGTACGCCAGGGTGCCATTACCATGATCTGTACATGTGACAACCGTGTGATGGTGTCGTGGCGAAATTTTCCTTTCAAAAATGGTTCCAGATTTTTCTGGCGACGTTTTAAAAAACTTTGAAAATTGCCATATGCTGAATATGTAAATAGCTGACCTCGGCGAACAATTTCATATTTCCTCAATCTATAATTTCTAGACCAAGTCCTACTAGAAACTTTGAACTGTGATATTACATTCTCAAAGTTTGTGTGTGCAATATGAAGTGATGACTATTTTGAAAAACTCATTCTCGCCAAGAATCTTTTGTATTTTACTAAACTAGGTACCTATACATATAGTTGTTCTAAGCAAATTTCAAAATACTAAATATAAATATATGCGAATATGAATGGGGCCGTCGGTAGAGGGTGCCCTAGACGGACATATGTATAGGGACCAGATTGGCGATATATTAAAGAAGGGCCAAATTAAAAGTACCCTTAACCGACGTAAACGCATGAAAAGATTGATGACTGTTAATGAAGCGAAAGAGGTATGTAAGAATCGTAGTAATTGGCGTTCCCTAGTCTCTGCCTACCCCCTTGGGAAACAGGCGTGAAGTTATGTATGTATGTATGTATGTACTACATATAAATATTTTTCTACATTCACAGTTTTATTTGGTTGTAGAAATTTGATTTTAGAAATGAAATCAGAATCAGATCTACTGAATTTTATAATATGAGACTTATTAGTATCGACCTCATTAGCTTTAGTAAGACTGTATAGTTAACATGTATTTATATAATAAGTAGTGTGTATATAATAGTATAGTAGTAGTAGTAATATATATATATAATAATATAGACTGCCTCGGTGGCCGAGTAGTCGCAAGTGCGACTGCCGGGCAAGAGGTCTTGGGTTCGATTCCCGGGTCGGGCAAAGTACTACTAAGTTTTTATAAATTCTCAGTAGTAGCACGGAGTCTGGAATTGTGCCCGGCATATGGCAATTGGCTCACCCCCTCTTACATGGGACTGATAGCATAAATAGTGAACAGTGGGTGTTACATTGTACAGTGGCATAATGTATACCTCTGCCTACCACTTCGAATCCAAACGTCTATTTAGGTTAGCATTCAAAATGGCCGCGGAATCAGTGCAGTGATGCGTTAAGCACGCAGTGTAGCATGTAATCAATTTCTTGAGGTGCATCAACACTGGTCACAAGACTAAATTTATTTTACCTAATATGAGAATAAGAAAATTTGAATTAGCGATTTCATCTATCGATCTCAACAGATTTCCTAATGACTATGCATTGTCTCCTTATTTATTTCCACCAAAGCAACGATTTCTCTAAAACATACATCTGAAGAATTTTATTTTCTCCGATTTTCTAGTTTATCGTAAGTATTTCTTATATGTAGGGAAATGTCATGCATATTTTAGCATATAGATGTCTTGTTTGTGTCACTATACTGACGCACGAGACAATTTACTTTCCAAAAGAATCGTTTTCGTAATATATTAAGTCAAAA